ACAACCTCTCAATCCTGGCTCCTCTGGGAAAGAGCGATCATGCCGTCATAGCCTTCAGTTTTGTCATCAACACTAAGCTAAGGTATCCCAACAATAATTTGCGTTGGAATTTTAAACGGTTGAATGTGCCAGCTCTACATGACTATCTACAACAGGTGGTTTGGGATGTTCACCCTCAACTCGATGTGGATGGTCATTGGGACTTCTTACTGCACACGCTCTTATGTGCTACAGACCATTCAGTTCTTCAAACGGTTCCCAAAAGCTTCAAGCCACCTACAGTAATCAAGAACCGTACCCTTCGCCTGCTAAGCCGCAAACGGCACTGTTGGGCGGAATACAAACGAACTAATAACGATGGAGCGTATAGGCAATACAAACATATCAGGAACACATGCACGAAGGCTATAAGAGAAGACAGGCTTCAGTACCAAACAAACCTTATGGACAAACTCGCCTCTAACCCTAGAAGCCTATTCCGTTATGCAGCCTCTATTCGTCAAGCCAAAACAGGAGTTTCTCAACTGCTAGGTCTTAACGGCCCGACCAACAACGATGGCGACGCCGCTAACCTTCTGGCGGCCCATTACTCTCAAACATTTCAACCGGCTGACATCAACTTTATTGACGACAGTTTCATCTCCAACTCCACAGGACTTTCTGAAATGGACCTAAGCGCTGACTTGGTGTTCCGGAAACTGCAGCACTTAAGACTTGACACTTCTCCTGGCCCGGATATGGTTCATCCTGCCATACTGAGGGAGGCAGCCTCAATCCTGGCAACGCCGCTTAGCGTGATGTTTTCACACTCGCTTAGCCGAGGCAAATTACCGGAAAACTGGAAGTTGGCTCACATCACACCAATTTTCAAAGGTGGTCGACGCAATGAACCTTCAAGTTATCGGCCGGTGGCTCTTCTGTCATTACCTTCAAAACTCATGGAGTCCCTGATATGCGACGGTACGAATGACTATCTACGGTCCTTAAATTTCTTCTCACCCCAACAGCATGGTTTCAGGAAGGGTTACTCTTGTATAACCAACCTGCTAACTGCGGTGGGCAAATGGACAAGCATCCTCGATTGCAAGGGAAAGGTTGACGTCATTTACCTTGATTTCTCAAAAGCTTTTGATAAGGTTAACCACTTGTGTCTTATCAACAAGCTCAAACGACTAGGTATCAAACCACCTCTAATCGATTGGGTTACTTCATACCTAAAAAATCGACACTTTAAGGTTAGGGTTAATTTCACTTTATCTCAGGCTATGGAATGTTCTAGTGGGGTCCCCCAGGGCTCAGTACTAGGGCCTCTTCTCTTCTTGATCTACATAAATGATCTTCCTCAACAGGTAACGTCAGACTTATTACTTTTTGCCGACGACGTGAAACTTTGGAGAGAGATACGCAACCAAGACGATACACAGGCACTTCAGGAGGATCTGACGCGACTTCAAAGTTGGGCAGACGATAACGGACTTACCTTTAACACTTCAAAGTGTAAAGTAGTCCATCTGCGACATGTCGCAAACTACGGTTACAACTTAGGAAACTCCTCTCTAGTAGTATCCCAAGTCGAAAAAGATTTAGGAGTCCTGGTGCCCCATGACTTAAAGTCTTACGCTAACTGTGACAAAAATGCCTTCCGAGCAAACCTTGCACTGGTAACGTTGAAGCGCATTTTTGGACAGTTTGACGGACGAACTTTCCATACAATCTTCAATAGTTTCATCCGTCCCCATTTAGAGTACGGAAACATAGTGCTCCCCCCTCACTCCAAAAGGACAAGGTCACTTTGGAGCGTATCCAACGGCGATCGCCACGAAATCAGTTCGAGGACTCAAATCTAAGCCTTACGAAGAACGCCTCCGTTCACTAGACCTTTACCCACTAGAATATAGGCGTCTTAGAGGTGATTTACTAATGGCTTATAGTATTCTTAACACTTCTGGACATCCTCTTAAACACCTACTTAAGCTTAGTTCGAATAATAACCAACCACTTAACCTCTACTCATTAGAGTATAGACGTCTTAGAGGTGACCTAATGGCTTACAATAACCTTAACACTTCTGGACATCCCCTAGAACACCTACTTAAGCTTAGTCCCAGAAACTAGAGACACAATATAGCAGAACGGACTGTAGACGCAACTTCTACTCCTTAAGAGTTGTCAAATGCTGGAATCCGCTGCCCGTCGAGCTAGTCCAAGTGACTTCCCAGGAGTCCTTTAAGAGGCAAGTGGATCTATTCTTAAGGATTAAGGACAGTATCTTACTAAGATTTACCAATTTCTATTTCCTCTTTTATTGTTAACATACCTTGGTTCCTGCCTGGAGGCTTTGGTGACCCCCTGCTACTAGACACGGAAGCCTGCTAAGCGAAGGCTTCTTCCATTCCGTCCACAACCATTTGAACACATGAATTAGGTGTTGAGAGGCTCGCTTATAACAAGTTTCTTGCAACGAATAAGTAGATAAAACAATGTAGCATTAGATTCAAAGATTTATTCAAGAACTTTCATTAAGAATTGAATATCAAACAAAGGTTTAAACCAAGTTCCCGTTTAAAAGTTGTATTGGTAATGTTAAGCTGCAGTTTCTGTTGTTTTTTTCCAAACGAAAGAGTAAAAGAAGTCAAAAAAATACTGGGAGTAGTTGTGAGACTAAAATGGACGTCCAGCATCCTTCTTATAATCTGCTGTTCGTTGAGTCTCCCGTAAACAGTTCCATAGGGCCATAGTTCCAAGGGCGAAACAGTTATTAGGGCCTGTGAAGGCTCACTCCTGTTGCGTTCTAAATGAAAAAAAGGTGATGAATTTAGTCAGAAATGTGGAATAGATAAATAACCAAATCACATGTTTTTTTAGCAAAGAATTTATGCAGTTGTGATTTACCTTGAGTTCATGAATATTAGATAAGGTCAGCTACTATTACTTGCGCAAAGCATAACATGGGCTTAGTACCGTATTGCAATGCTTTTATTATTTTGCTCCCATTTAAGTATTCCCATGCATCTGAGTCTTGTTTAACAGGAAAACATACAAGCAGAGTAAGTGTATGATAAACTAAAAGTCCCAGTTGTCAAAAAGATTCTTAACATTTGTCCACAGCCAGCTGCATTTAATTGAGACACAGAAAATTCATCTTCTAAGACTGTATACTGTTGTTTTGCGGGCAACTAAAAGCTCAGACACTTAGCTATCTTGCTACCGATGTTATTGCTGGGGAAATCGTTTAATGACAGTGATCATGAAATATGGTCAGTGATAGATGTACAGTTTAGAAATAAACACCAAACATACTTATCTCTATCTTATAATGTATGACAGCAACAGCATCAAAGGCACGTTTTTTGCTATTTTTAATCAGACTGATCTGAATCCGTATACACATTAGAAACAGGCAACTCCACTTACTAAACTGATCTGTTTCGTTACAGGCTTCAAGCACTATACTTAAGTATATCAAAATTCTTTCAACTAAACTGAATTATACGACAACCAAGAACACTAAACTAAGCAAGTGTCATAGTTATTGTTTCACTTGCAAAGACATGCTGCTCAAAGTAGTTAAATGGACATAATTAAGCCGATAAAACCAAAACACGAAATATAGGCCAGTTGAACTTACCTAAGAAAAAAAGAAGGATACATATATACTGCTTTCATACTGAAGACAACAGGCAGTTGTTCATAGAAACATAGTTTACAGTACAACAAATCTTTCTTCAGTAAAATCATGCACTGACAGTGTATCTGGAAACAATCAACTATGTGAATAAGCTCACTATGACTTGAGTTATCATCCCAGCGTGCAATGAACGTACAGTGTAACGCAGTCAGACGTGGAGAATAAAAATTGAAAACAGAGCAAAATTAACTACATAATCTGGTTATTTAATTAAAAATACATTATGAAATGACAAAATCTTTGGTTACTTAAACGCACAAATGACAGTGTGCGATACATTGAGTTTACATGGTTGCGTTGCGGATAATTTCACCCCTCAATTCTCTTGAAAAATCCACGCTTGATTCAGCCTGAGCCCCGATTTGTTGGTATATTATAAAGCTAACCTTGTTGGAGTTGAATTATAATTTTAGTTATTTGCTAGATGTTTCCCTTTTACTATAATATTCCTATAATTTCCAACCATATTTCGTTTGAGCATTCTGCAGTAGTATCGAGTTCAGAAGCTATCTAAACAATCTTGCTGTACAATTATGTCGTCGAACAACGTTGAGAATCATGCAATTTATCCAAAAGGTCTGAGGGAGTAACAAAAACATTTGTAATATTTTGTAGTTTTCCAATCTTTTAGTCCAGTACACATCTTTATTTCCTTCTATGTTTTCCAACACACTGGTTTCTCAGATGATTCAATCTAAACTTCAACAAATAATGCCTGGACATGTGGAAGTTTGAAAATCGATTGCTGAATTTACTTTTTCCAGCCTCTTTAATTATTGTCGACATTGTAATATGAAGCCGACTAATAAGTTCGATATTCTGAAGCTATTCTTTAAACTGTTGTCGGCCTTCTGTAACAAACCAGCCTCCTGATCTGCTTCATAGTGTTGAACGAATCAATATACTAATTTAGATTTACCAGAATGATCCAATTTAAGACAGAACAAGATGATCATAAATGAATGTACTATATACGAAACTAGAACTGGCTCCGAAACGAAGTATAAAAAAAGTCAATCGTTAGAAATACTATATGCCCTCTAGGCTATTTATTTTAGGGGGTAAACGTTTGTCAAAATCTCCAAAATTAACCAATATTTAACGGTGCACATATTACATCTATTATTTCCTTTTGTTCCCATATACTTGAGGCACTAGGTTCAATTATGTGTAACTCACTGCTACCATAAGCCAGAGGTCGTTGGGAAAAACCTTATTTTGCTTTTTTACTACCCATTTGACAGTATCTTTTATGATTGAATCTATTGAGCACAGAAATATAGGGTTTCTTGATTAAGCGCTCTGCGCAACTGATTTGAAAATCACCGTTTTCACCTTGCTTCACCATACTTAACGCTGTTGAAATGAATATGTTTTTCTTATTACAGGGAACAATAAGTAAACACGCTAGAAGAAAAAATAGGATCTGCGTGATGGATAAGACTATCTTCATAATAACCTTTCCCTTTTGTGGCCCAAATACGTTATTCGATTTTTGAAATATATATGTTGTGCTAGCACGTCGTGTTCTTGCTTCGAAACATTCACTGACCCTTATTTGTATGCTGCTGCTTTAGATCCCTCCTGCTTCCAAATAAACGCCGGTAACATTTGTAACAGAATATGCAGTCGAGTGTTTCCTTGGAAGATGGATTTTATTCCTTCTGGAAATCTCTTGGACCTGTAAGGATAAAATTCTCAAAATTTAATTTCCAATCTAGAAGCCTCCTACCACTCTTCGATGCTTCGAAAGAGGGGTAAGCCATATTAGTTGGAGTTATTTCTTTCCAGGAGATAATGACGCTTCATGATTCTGATGCTATTCTTGTGGCTACAGATTACTACAGGAATCCGTCCCTCGTAAAGCGGTTTTCCAGGGGGAAGTCAAGCCTGTCGTATGTCACTGTCAAAAAACAAAACACTGACTTTTTGAGACATTTTCTTCTAAAGAGGCAATATCGCATCGAAATATATTGTTCCACATCCAAATGTGGGAGAGATAATGAGTGGAGCCTCAAGTTGAAGGTTTGTAGAGCCAGCTATTAGCTTATTTTCAGGCTTCTCCTGGGAACTTGAGTTCAGTAGAAGATCTCCTTACATCCACATCAGATTCAGTTGAAGCTTGTGGACTCAGTGCAGTAAATGTAAAGCAGCTAAACGAACGAATAGTAAGTTTAGTGCAACTTTTACAACCGTATGCGATTCGCTGCTAATGTTCACCAACCTTGTTCATAACAGAAAAAACTACCCGGATATGTGAATGTAACGATTGACTTGGGTTAAACACTTCGTATTTAAGGTATTAAATATCACTTAATGATACTTACAGCGTCAGCATTTTCTGAACAGGGACCGTGGATTACTGGTTTCATCAGAAACTGTCTGTTATGTCTAATTCAAACCATAAGTTTTATATTCTGTAGGTGGTTCAACTATGTAACTTGGAACGTTAGCAAATATGCCACAATATAATAGCTAATGGAAAAAATTGTGAGAAACGTTTTTAGATAAAGAAGGTTTCTGGTTGTATTTTCAAGTGAGCTGTATATCCTAGTATGAATTCTCGTTCATTTTTTCTTTTGGATTGTACTACCGTTTTCTCCATTTATTTAGTGCTATCTCTATTTATGGTCTCTACACTTTCGGTCTCCAAAATTTACATGTATAAACTAAGTAAGTATACTAACACCCTTAAAAGTACACCTAAAGTCAATTCTCAGGACTTAGATTAGTGGCATTTCAGTACAATATTTTTCTGATAATCTAAATAACTAAATCCTACGTTTATATTAGAATATTTAGGTACTTTCAGCCGGAGTAGCTACGTTCAAATGCCGAGAAGTGTCACTAGGAGATAAAAAAGTTGTGTTACTCTATTACTGCTTTATGTTATAATTGAAGCCACAGGCAAGAGCGTCACAACTGAAATCTTTGGCTAGAACAGTTGGCAAAAGGTTTAACTGTGGCAGCCAGAACATCAATTACTTATCATTATGGCTAGAGAAAAGCTTATTACGTTAAGCTTGAAGGTGGTTTTCATCTACATAAGATATTCATGATCATTTAGTGATATCTGTTTGGAATTCATTAATCCTGTTCCATGTCCTAGTGTTACAATGTTTTTGATTTTTGTTATTGGAGTTAATTATTCAATCAAACAAGACATTTGCTCTGTATTTCAGCATGTGTGCCTAGCGTTTTGTGAAACTGAAAGTCGGAAGTTTCTTGTTGGTGAATTCATGGACTCAGTGCACCTAGCGAACTTGGAAACTGCTCTTGTTCAACTTAAAACAAGAGAATGCCTTGTCCCTACCGGACTGCTTTCACATCCAGATATTTCGAAATCTGATGTTACACCTTTGGGCAATGCTATTTCGGAGCACGTCAGTTTTATCTTTGAAAAAACTGGGATTTTACCTACTGAGGTAAAAAAGTGTAAGTCCTGTACCTCGGTAATCGATAGACCTTTCTAAGCTATGTTTGATATCAAAAATATCTCTTAATTTCATATATCGTTGAAATTTGGTCACCGTAGTCGATGTTCTTTTATGTTGTTTGCTAGTGATTAAATTGGGATGACCAAAGGTCTTACTGATCGTATTCTCATTGCTTATTTTTCAGACCTCCGTAAAACCTGACTTTCCACATCTGTTAATTTCTCATATCTACTCTTTTTTTGAAATATCTTAGATTAATAATTAAAGTTCGAAGATCGGTGATAGTTTTTTGTATTAACTGGAAAAGGCCATTTTTGTGAACCAATAAGGAGCGGATTAGATAGTGAACCTGATTACATTATTCAAAGTTACTGTTCAATTTAATACAGAAGGGTCTACGAACCTAGTTAGAATCAACCATCTATTACTGTTGGTTAGCTTTGTTTTAGTGTCAAACCACTTTCAAAAAACCTTCATAAATTAGGGTTAGGCTATAGCCGTATAAATTGACGTGTAGCTTTCAAAACAGTCCTAAACCTCCTGTTAACAAAAATAGAATAAATCATTGGGTGTGTATCACCCAAAGGAGCGATTGCTGGTGCTGCCAGAAATTTGAATCTGAAACCCGGTCATAATTTAACACCATGCATTAAATCATTCTTGGTCTCCATCTAATATTGATGTGATAATTGTCAAAAGCATTTGATTCCAGTAATGCTAAAAGAGTATATTATTGAATAGTCTAGTCATCAAAGTTAAATAAGTTTATGCATTACATCTTCTCTAATTAAACACTAACATTTTATTAACCTAAGTAAGTTTTTATCGGTGTGTTTTATCAGTTTACCAACTTCTACTCAATTTAGTCTTAGGCTAAAATTTTCGCAATTTATTAGTACCAGACTTGTTCCGAAGACATCCTCGGAAATCTGTGTTAGCTAAACTTAAGGGTCTTCATTTCCCATACACTAAATGGTATCTCACGTTTTTTGATCTCTCACTACACAAAATTTAAATTAATCAAACAAGCATCTTGAATTTATCCGTCAAATTACCCTGTACCACTAGACAAAAATCCTTTAGACCACCAAAATATACTTATTTTCATACAGATATGTAAGACAAAATGTGGGTTTAATGGGATGAGAAAACGACAACTTTTTGACCACTAGTTATTTTATGAAATCTTCAGTGCGAAATTTAGTCTCTGGTCTAGGAAATTAATGCTTTAAATGACGTGAATCAAGTCTTAAAATTGAGATGTGCATCATGTTTACTAAAGCGAAAAATACCTGTTTTAAGGTCGGATGAAACCATATCTCTGATCCCATATTTGTTTGTAATTATGAATTATCAAATACTTTTGGTCGTAGTTTAATGTTGCATTAAGTTTAAACCATTAAACTGAGTTCTCCAACTCACAGTAGGAAATCTTTTTTGTGAATAAAGCTGATCAAATGTCGAGGGATTTTTGACTAACGACAGCAGCTATGATTTTAGTTAGTCCCCATTTTTGGTACTTGTATCTGAAGAGATAAAAACTGAAATTTTACTCTTAGTTTTGATCCACATTTATATAAATGTGGTTTGGTTCCAGTTATGATCTCATAAAGCTCTTTGTTTTTGCCTATTTAAGCTGAATTCTCGCACACAATTAAACCACAAGACTTGATCTATTTCCTGCGATCTGAAAAAGAAAACTCAAATGGCTCTTTGCTCTACGAGAAAGGTAATCTGTTTTTGAATACTATTCAGTCAGATGCTGCTATTATACCCACCGGAAAGCAAATATAATTAGATTATTGTGGATTTCAATCACAATCTGTACTTGAAATTCATCTGTTTTACTGGTGTACCTACTTTCAAACATTTTCTATGCAAAGCAGTTGGCTTTGCTTGGCATTTCATGCTATCGAATCAATATTATAATAAGGCTACAACTTTTCCGTTTGTTGTCTACCTAATCCTTTCTATTATTACTGGTATTGTTAAACTTTCTAACAATCTGGGATTTATCTTGATAATTTCATTTCGCTATGCTAGTGTAGTGTGACAACTTACACCGGTTCACATGTGACAGGTCCTACATTGAGTATGACTGACTGACTGTAAACAAACCTAAAATCATCGCCTCGTATGCTTATGTGGATGTATTTTGTAGTAATGTCTCGTAACAAGTTTTCAATTGAGTTTTGGTTTTACATTATTATTGAAACTCATGTTAATTATTTTCTGTTCGTGAAGCGGTGTCGTAGAATGATCATGTAATCAGTAAAATACCCTGAGGCCTGCAATATATATGGTATAGTTTCAAGGGTTTCTAACAGAAATATATACAACTTGTAGAAACTTTCAGATTACTGATGGAAAATCTGTTGCCGTCAGTCGTCCAGTGAATCATCCCACCATCAGATTATGACAAATTTCGCCGTATTCAAAGCACACCGAAACACAACAGGACCAAATGATGGATAAAGAAAATTAATGTACTTAACGGTAATCTTCAGATTCTAAGAGTTACGTTTGGGAATTTAAATGTCTTTGGATTAATAATTTTTCAACAAACAACTAGCACTTGGGACAGCCAGTTAGAAATAATCAACAAAGAGACAGACAAAAATGTATGTCAACGAAAGCTGCTTGATAAGAGTGAACTCAGAAAAATAGATATCAACATAGGGCCCGGCTCAAACAGGCGTTGGTCTAAGTTGTCATATCACGTTAGGTTGACGAAATGAAATTAACAAAATGTACGTCAGAGAAACCGAAATAATGTAGCAGCAAGCATAATAAGAAAGAATAAACATTAAGAATGTGGTTCGAAAAGTTGATGGGAAGGTATGTATGCAGGAATATTGGAAACACTGATCTATAGAGGTAGCATGTGAATGCATGCGTGTCACTGAGATCGACTGTGAGCCATGTCACTCAGAGACTCCGAACATTGGTTACGATAGTCGCACGAACCCCAACCAAGTAGTTTGCGTCTACCAACATAACTCAGACCAGAAGTTAGTGACTTCAAGAACTAATGCCAAGTTTTGGTTTTACCTCCCCTAACTTTCTTTCAACTGTCTTCAACACTAGTCAGTACTGCGCGTCGTGGTAATCCGTGTTCAGACATACGTAACACGTGGCCCAACCATCTCAGTCGATAAATATTTACAACCTCATCAACGGATCTACCATCATTCCCTAATACCCTGCGTCTAACCTCACTATTACTTACCCGATGATTTCAGAAGATGTGAGCAATACTTTTAGACATCTGTGATCAAATACTTGAAGCTCACGAGCATCCTCTACTCTTAGTGGTCACGTTTCGCAGCCGTAAAGTAGAACAACGAACTGCTGCACAGTATACTCGTCCCTTTTATTGACAGACAGATATCTCGTCTTTTCGAATCCGTGCAGATATTTCGTCAGACACCAATTAGAGCTGTTCAGACTTTCATGATAAGTGAAGCTGTCGACTACTTCACTCCCTATCCTTAGTTTAGGTGTTGACGTAGACCAGTGCTGAAGCAGCAACTTGCATTTAGAGGGGGAGAGACGCATCTCAAACATCCTGGCATTGTCACGCTGTGCAACCTTAAAACTCTACATTTCATTGGCATCCTCATCAAACAGGACTGTGTCATCTCCGTTCTCTAAGTCGATAAGTGGACCATCTGGTAGGAGTTGAATTTCTGAAAATTCAAACGATAAAAGTAGCAACAACAAATTGTGTCACTAGTTTATTACTCATATATTATTTTCTTCTGTAGCTACGAGTTATTAAACTATTAACAACAAACCAAGTAGTATAAATGTCTACAAAAAAAATGAACTGGTATTTTTCGTACACTTTCGTGTGCATAAAATCATAGATCAAATGTCCAAAACTTGCCATAGTAGTCGATGATATGCAAATTTTATTTCTATTAAGTAAAAAATATTAGTCAATGAACCCATTCACGCTCTAAACGTCTTTAATACCTAGCTTCATATTATTCCCAACTCTTGAAAATTAGATCCATTGTATTTTAGCCATTATAAAAAGAAGTACATGAATAGTTAGTACTGCAGTGTTCCCACTATATAGAAAGTTACATCTGTTGATTGCCTCCTTTTAACGTTGTTACATCCGAAGAATAACTATTGGGTACCTAGATTATATGTTTACATTCCTTTCGTCATAAGCTTTCATTTGGCTACCGCAATACGATTTGCCATTCTTAACTTGTTCCCAACATATCGGTCACAGTATCCCACGTTCACCGATACTTTTGGCGTGGTCTTGTATGACATTTCTTTTTTCATTCTGTATTATGATGCGGTCTGGTCTGCTTGTATGTAGACCGAGTATGTCTGAAATATACGATCCACACAGTGGAGTCTGATATTTTTGTTCTAGACTGAACGGTCTGTGCTAGGCGAGAAGTTGCTATACGGAAGACCAATAGGAATTGAGAGTTGACTGAAGGCTGTTCGTGCTGGTTAACGCATCATTGCTTTAACAAAGGGACAAGGTTATATAAGTCGGTATTCAAAAAGGCGATTTTATCACATGTTATTTGATGGACCATAGGACAACAAGTTGGCGACGGGATGGAAAGTCTACGACCTCGACTTTCACAAAGGAATCAAGGCCATCCAGTAGTTGAACGAGAATCAGTGTAATTATTTGAACACAACGTACAGAGCTGTCGTCGGTGTCCTTGCACGACATTAGTTATTAATTAGTCATTCAGTCTTTTTCTTATTACTGTTCTGACTCATGCAGAAGAAGAAAATCAATATGTCAACTTTAATGGAGCAAATGCAATTATTTCTTCAGTAACAGCAGAGTCAATTTTTAGCTTCTCAAGAACAGATGCTTACATCACTTACATCAAAATCTTCAATCCAGTCCAAATGCACCACAAAAGATGAGGAAATAGAACCATTACTTAAATTAGTCCCAAAACTTATTTTTGATTCGGAAAGTGGTCATATATTTGAATTATGGTTCGCTAGCATCGAATATTTTTCTCAGATGAAAGGAACGTAAGATTGGTATCACAAAAACTTGACCCACAAGGACACTAAATATGGAAATTTTATCCTGCCAAGACACCCAAGGGAGTTGAGTTTTGATGAAACCGTTGGTATTTTGAACAAGATATTTTGTGAACAAGCTTTGTTATTTCATATTCGTTATAGATGCCTCCAGTTAAAAAAATACTCTGGTGAAGATTATCTGACGTAGGCAAGCAGGATTAATCTACAAGTTGAACGCTTAAATTAAGTACATTATCAAATGACCAATTTAAATGCTTGTTGTTTGTTTTTGGACTATAGTCTTCCACAGATGCCGATGTTCGAACTCGATTATTATCCCGTATTGATGATGAAATGGTACTACAAATGATCACTGCATTGCCAACGCTTGCTAAATTTAAAGCATGGCACTGCAATGGTAGGAACTAGATGAAAAACCCTGAAAAATAGCAATATCCATTCTGTAAAATACTGCAGAGAAGATAACGTTCTGTTCACAATCGCCACCAAGCTAAACTAAAGAAACTTACAAAATGTTGGTTTTCTGTTGAATGGTATTTTGCGAAGACTTGTCGTTGTTGGAATCACCAATGTAAGGTATGTTGTAAATCTGATCATAAATATACTTTCTGTCAACAACGGAATTATTTAAATTCCAAATCACAAATGAAGTTTTCCCAGAGTCAAAGAAAGTATGTTCGTATTATATATTCAAGGAATGCATGCAATCTAGTTCATGAGTGGGTCTGTTCATAAATAATGTCCCGATTCGTGTTCAATTAGATACAACATCTAATATTACACTCATTTCTGGAAAGACATGGAAACTTCTGGGTTATCCTTCAATACTGCCTACAGAGAATATGGTTTGTAACGGATTTGGGAGTATTCTAGAACCCGTCGAAATGATCGAATATATTGTTCAATTTAGAGATTACTTTTTAATGAAACTTGTTATTTGACAAGTAGACACGATTTAGACCTTGTCGGTATTGATTGGATCGATAAACTAAATCTTTGGAATATCCCACTGGATACAGTTTGTACACTAAACGATTCCTGCACTCTCAATAACTCACCTGTGCTAAATGTAACATCCAAAGCCAAATTGTATTTACAACATGGAGCGAAACCAATTTTCCTTATGAATGTATACATCCAGTTAATCTTTCATCGTGGTCAGATACTATTGTTGTAGTTCAGGAAACTGATGGAACCGTCCGCCTATGTGCTGACTACTCTACGGGATTGAATAATGCTTTGCAAAATCACTCATATCGATTACCTTTACCTGAGGGTTTATTCATAAAACTAAATGTTGGACGTTATTTTGCAAAAATTGATTTATTTAATGCATATTTGCAATTAGATTACTTGCCGCTCTAAAGCCAGCTTCTTCAATTTTTCAAAAGTTAATACATACTGTGATATTGAATCTCGATGGTGTTGCAGCCTACTTGGATGATATTATTATTGTAGTAACTTTAAAGAAGAATTGTCTTCTTTGGGCAATCTACTTACAAGAATATCAGAGTCTGGTTTTCGACTGTAAAAATATAAATGTGAACTATTTCTTGAATCTGTTAATTTTCTTAGATTCATATTTGATAAACATGGCCGTCGACCGGATCCAGATAATATATATGCCACTAAACAAGTGTCTCCACCGACTGATGTAATGACATTACTATCATTTTCAGGAACGATTGGATATTGTAGTGCATTTGTTCCGGCTTTGCTGACACTACGCCGTCCGTTAAATCAGCTCTTAACAGTTAATGCAACATGGTAGTGATCAGACGAGTGTCAAAATCCCCTTGGCAAAACCAATAAAATGTTATCCTCTGATTCATTATTAACACATTGTAACTCGTAATTGGAAATAATTGTTGCCGCCGATGCTTTTAATTATCGTATTGGTGTTGCTATCAGTCATCGCTTTTCGGATGGTAAGGAATTTGAAATAGAAGTGAGCAGACGACTTCATAAGCACATAAAATGCACATATGTTTATTGATGAAAGCAATCGAAAACAAATAGTAATAACACAAGCACGAAATCATGACAATATGTCAATCGAAACCAGAAATTGATAATGCAGTGTTTCAAATGCGTTACAGTTGGATCGTTCTGTCAATTTACCCATCCAACTAATTGCATTAGACGTATCATCTTCAACTACTATTCTTAATATTATCACCATTATTGTATTTTATTACCGTTTTTTTTATAATAGCTGTGAATTTGATAATTTTGTTTACCGAAACCAAACAAATTTGTACATGCTTGTGCTTGGTTACGTCATTGTTTCTCTCGCTTACTCCACTTATATTCAAACTAAACTCGTATAAATATCGAAAATAATCATACTTATTTTTCACTACACACATGTTATACACAAAATTGCACTTAATAAAATATTCTGTTTATCTCTACAGATTAATGCTTATATGAGGGAAGATTTTAGCGTAGACCAAATGAAATAAAATCATTCCATCCTTCACAATGTTTTGGTTGTTATCCTTTACAAAAACTAGTCCCAGGCAATTAATAATTGCTTAAAGTTTTGCTTGTTCGTACTTACATTGTATATATATATATATATATATATATATATATATATATATATATATATATATATATAATCAATTCTTTTACATCGAATTTTAGAGTTTCTTCTCAAAGATGCATTGTCTTGTCTGGGTGCCATAATAAAATTCCTAGATGTAAGTTTTTTACTTTCGTAGCTAACTGAAATGATACTTTCGAATGTTCTAAGTTCCTTTCTTCGGTCATTGAACATAATTAATGAGTGTCAAGTTAATAAGTATACTGATCAATGGTATGCCTGATTGTTCCTTATAATTTTTTTGAAGTAGTTAATCTCGATAGAAAAAAAAAGCTTGACATTATTATGAGCTATCGTTAATTTAATCGAGTTGATTGTCTAGTTTCTTTGAGTGGTCACTCCATATATATATATATAATCACTAAACTTTTGTCCTTAATAGGATAATTACCATTGAATCTTAAACAGTTGATATCTACTTTTTGTGTGCCGAGCTCTTTTCTTAAGTAATGCAATACTACATCATTTGTCTGTCAAGTTTGCTGAATACAATCGATAAATCTAACGATAATTTGATGCCCGGGTTATAACAGCGTTCTTGTCTTTTCTAACTTCAACTACTTCAAAAGACAAACCTTATAAAATAGATTTATCGGGAGAGATCGAAGAAGATTAATATTTTTTAAATAAAACGTTATATTTAGGTATTTAGCAGCTCTAAGAACTGTCGTCATTATAGTACAATCTAGGGATAATTAGTGAAGTCAGAAAATCAGTAAATATTATACTTATAGTAAGAATCAAATTAGTGTTTCTGTGTTCGTTTTTCCTTAATTTTTCCTTGTAGTTATCAAAGTGCCACAAATTAGTTCATCAATTTTCCAAAAGGAAAGCAATTCGAGGTTTGAGTTTGTACATGACAAACAGATATCCATCTAAAGCCTGATACAGATGTGTGTTATCCTAAAATGGCATATCACACATCAGCACTAGATAAAATTAACAGAAATCGAAAGAAATACTTAAACTTGGGACTATAGTTTGAGGAGACAGAATGGAAAAGTAAGTATAAAAAGATACTGAAATTGGGAGAATGAATGCGTTTGAGCCAAGTCACCCCACTTTCCAACCATTGATGGCGATCATCACGCGTAAACCAACAAACCTGTCCATGAAATAATACCCGTGAACATGTCTCTCAATCTTATAAATTTCTTTTGGGCCAAATATACAATATACTACAGCAAATCTCGGAAAATTTACGTTGTTAACTTTTTTGATTACTGATGTTGATACATCGAACCTACGATTAATAATGCAGATATCATTACAATAAAAAACAATAATAACGATACATATCCTTTCCTAAGCAATGTTCTGAATTAACGAGGGAAAAGAATTTCATTTCAACCATTCTTCACATCATTACTTAGAAACTTCAGAAGAATTTGCACTTTAACAAAATAGAACTAATCTTATCTGCCTGCTAATATAAATCGATAAAGGGACATGGTTTATAATAAAATGCAAGTTCTAGGTTATTTAAGCTTTGCTATTTAGTGTTTGCGAATATTTGAAGCTGTTTTTTGTAATACATACTATTGGTTGATAAATTCCCCTTGTGAATTGGTGTACACTTTATTTATTTATATGGTTGAATGTAATTTCTTGATGGATCCTAAATTTTTCCGTCACATTTTTTTGTTTTTTAATGGGATGTTTGATTGATCTTCTAATTGGCCTTCTCTTTCATTAGCTAAACGCTTTTGACACGAATCGTCATGTATTCACACTAGAAACTTTTAGTCTTGAAAATCATGTACGCCTAGATAGTGCTGCCAGTCGGGCATTGCACTTATTACCTGGTCCAGATGATAGTAAGTGTTAAGTGGATAAATTGTTTGTCATTTTGTTTTTTCGTGTTGTTTTTAGTATGAAACTTAGACAGTATTTGACTATATGATTTTTTAAACAGTAATACATAAAAGCCTTACCTGCAAATTTTCGCTGATTATATAAACCTCGTTTTTCTGAAATGCACCTCCCTCTAATGATATAAACAGCGCTTTTTCCATTTACCTTTAAAGTAATAACAACATGAGTAGCAGATTGATGGAGGCACCTGACCTTCAGTTATTAGATCGCAATTTTCTCAGTTCACCTATTTTGATACAGAAAATCGGATAGTATTTCTAGCACTCAAGTTGAAAGTGTCTGTAGGTTTAGTAAATAGCCATGCACTTTGCTTGACTAATGTATGTAATTTATTCAACAAGTGCCTAAGTAATCACGCGATTATAATTTCTACTTAACGCTAAATCAGTAATCATAAACAAGAATTCTATTATTTGCATAAATTAATTTTGTAAAGAAAAATATGGACAGTGTATAATCATGATAATAATAAAGCGTATAATACTAAATAATGTAGTGTAAGTGACAATAATCCAGGGTTGCGTAAATTTTACAGAATATGTATAAAAAAGAAAAGAGAACAAAATCAGTGTACTGACAGTGCATTATAATATAAATAGAGTAAGGCATTCATAACAAATATGTTTTTTTCGCTAATTAAGCATGAATATATTTTAAAATTACTTTAAAGGACGCTGGAAATAAATTATAATTGAAATAGATTAGAGGAATACGATAAATAACTAATGGAAGAAGAGTGTTTTCAAATGCCATGGTGCATAAAATGAAAGTAGTTATACTAAGGATGCATCGTTTCTGGAGCGTTTTAAAGACTGATTTAATTTGTATATACTGTTTTTCACGGATCAACCTTGTTTGGGAATATCATTAAAAATCAGAGTACTGGATAGCTATTTCGCTCTAGTATCAGACTACTTAGTTGTGCACACTCACGACCTCACCAGCGATCAAACCCAGGATCTTCAGATCTTATTGTGATTGCTAAACCATTAGATCATTAGGTCGTATATCCAATAATATACATTTTCAAATCCAATCGATTTGTTACTTTGCCGACAGCCATTCAATACGAATAATGATAACTATTTTATTCTCAGTGTCTATCTGTCATGAATTTCCTGTATAACTTCAGTAACTTGCCTCAAATTTAGTTATTAGTAAACACACGATCATATGTTTATTAGTAAATGCAAATATAAGACAGATTTATTCTCTATACAGTGCCCTGAGATTCGGCTGCTCATAACAAAGTAGGTGAAGCCGAGTTCTCGCCTACAATCCAACTACTGGGAGTCAAGTGTTTTAATTACCAGGTGCTAATCTCAGTCATTTTCGATCGGTTACATAATAACTATATTAAATAATGATAACAGTCTATCGCTGTTGTAAATTATTTATATTTACTCTAATAATTTCTTAACGCATATATTGTTTTACTTGTAACCTCCAATGTTTTAGAAAACAAGTTTCACAGTGTTTATGGCGCATTGAACAATTGTCGAACAGCTCAAGGCCAGCGTCTTCTAGCTCAATGGCTTCGACAACCTTTAATAGATAAGTCAAAAATTGGTATGTCATTATAACGTAAAAAATTCTTTACAAGATAATAGTTGGAGTCGAATTAAAATATCTCGTTAACAGGCAGTAGCCTTATATAATTACATCATTTTGTGAAAGTATTTATCTAATATATTATTAAATGTATACTAAACATCTATAATGCATCTACAATTTAATTTCTTGAAATTTATGGTAGGAATCCAAGTGCCTACCGTGCAAACTAGTTTACATCTAATGTTCACTAGATTGGTACACTGGTAAATAAAAATGTAACATCAGACTGTTGTAAATAAGTTAATGAAGGTAATTACCACATTACTTGTTTTAGAGATCACTTTTTAAGACACATTAACGACTATCGTTGATAAATCCATCAAGAATTTTCTCTTATATATTTATGAATTGTTTCCCTTCAACGTTAGGAAATATTTATTCACTGCTTAGATATTCGTACGTAACTTTTAGTTTATTTCTTAATTTGTAGAAGAACGTTTGGACTTAGTTGAATCGTTTGTTGAAGAAACTGCGATACGTCGAGGATTGCATGAAGATTTCTTACGTCGCATCCCTGATTTACAACGTCTAGGTCGACGTCTTAAGAAAATCAGAGGTTCTGGCCTTCAGGTTGGTTGATTAATACCAATTTTTGGAAATAATCTTTCTGTTTAAATTTCTTATTTCTATATTATTATCTCTAATTGTTTGGATTCAAGGTTTTATGTTGAATCTCAGGTTTCGAACTTTAAAAATAGTCCCAGTATTATTAATAAATTATTTGATAAACTATCACTGATCATGATGACCAGTGGCGGTGGTAGTAGGTCTTAGTTTCTAGCCCTTTACCATTTACTTCAGTTTAGACAGTTGAGTAATACCAGTAGTTTTCACGTAACTAAATTGTACTTGGACATCAAATACAAATGCTTGCACTTGATAAATAAGTTACATTTGTTTATATTTGACTGGAGATTATTAAAATATTTTTTTTCCACAAAAAGTCATCCTTGAATTATTTCACAATTGATGCCTTAATATTTTTAATGTCATTTAAAATATCCTTGTATTGATTTGACTTTCTTTTAATTGGATTTTTAATGGAACCTATCTAAGTATGTGTTTAATGTACTTGGCTTTGATATACACTTTCCACTTGATGATTAATGGTTGTACCCAACAATGAAGTTTTGTTTGAACATCCAACATAGACCGTTTCCTACAGTGATTAACGTGTGTACAAACACCAATTTTCTTTACAATAGGAATAGCTCAACTCCGTGTAATAGATACATATACAACTGTTAACAGTCACAGTGTAGACTGTGTTTTCTTTACTCTTAACTCGTAACTGTAACAGAAAAGGTTGTCTCTTGGCTCGTTTCTCTATGGAATTGTTTCAAAGTATGCTTCCTTGTAAATTTAGTATATTTGTATATTCGTTTTGCTGACCTATCTTCATCTTTAGCCCCCGACCACAGATAAACTATTGGTATTCCCAAGAAATGGATTTGTTTATTCGTTTTCGCTTCCTTCTAGGATGTTGATAGCTTAAATAATGCAACTTCATTCACTCAAGTTTCCTCAATTTCATATAGGAAAACACCAGTTTGTCTTTAATTCACCCTAGTAACCGACATGTTCGTCTCTAACAAATCATAATGAAGTGTTTAAAAAATGTTTATTTTAAGATATTTACGGATAGACAGATACATACACAATATAGTAATAACGTTTTTAGAACTAAATACTTATTCATTCTTTCATGAGTAAATTTTTTTTATCAGTAGTGGATTCATTCGATTTCTAATCTGATATACACGATTTTTCCAAGCGTGTTCTCCCCGTGTCAAACCAAATTCATCTTCGTCATCTTCATCCAGTTTTCTTTCAAAGTACCTTTTACGCCTACAACATTTAGCATTATCCAAGCAACAATTCAGTGGGTCACGTAAAGTCCAAGGACGTTTTGTTAATCCTATTAAAAGAACAGTTGATTATTTTTTTTTTCAGAAGTAACATTTGGTAATGTGAGGGGTTTTAGAGGATTATTGAGTTTTGTAGTTTGCACTACGGACTGAACTTAGCTTGACAGACACTGGAAACCAGAGTGCATTTAGCGGTTCTTTTGCTCTAGTGTGGGACTTCTCACTAGTGCGTGTTTACAACTTTGCCACAGATCCGATCCATGACCGTCAGGTCTTGACGCCCACATAACCCTGAGATCAGTAAGTTGGAATCCATTTGCTTACACTTCTAACTTCAGTCAATTCATGATACTAAGCAGTCATCTTCTCATGCCATTGGTATTTAACTTCCTCCACCTGTCGTGGCTTCTAAACAGAACTTCAAGTATCACCCCTGGAGATTAATTAGTATTTTACATGTTAGGCTCTCGCAACAGTATCTGAATGTCCTGGGTTCGACTGTCGGTGGGGTTGTGATTACGCACTACTAGGGCGTCCCATACTAGGACGAAACATCCGTCGGTATCTAATCTATAGCCCGTAACAGTTTGTGAAAAAAACAATCACTTGTATATAAACGAAGAATATTCTTTTTAGCGATTTATCAGTTTACACTCAAATTTATCAGACTTGTTTAATAATAATGATTTCTTATACACTTAAACGCAGTGTAATCAGCACTCATCTCTGGATTTAATTGATTTTCATATCAATTCGTGTATTATGTAACTTCTGATCCAAAATATGATACATTTAACTAATTACATTAGTTATTTCTCTTATTCTATTCTAATCTCAAATGTGAGGTCTAAAAAACGGTTTAGTTATTTGAAAAAAATCATATAATACAAATACAAAAACACAAAAAGTGACGAAATTTAAGGGAAAAATTACTAGTGTTGAAAGCTTGTTGAGTTTCATGGTACACATCATGAACTAGGTTCAACTATATCATCTGAGCACAACGAACAAATTACAATGAACCCTTAGATCATACAGAATCCTAGCATTCTCTATAAAACAACGAACACTCTTCAAAATGTTTTAGTTCAAACAGAAGATCAAATTTCTATCACTTAAATATAGAATCTGTGTCTATAGACTAGGATTCGTAAATTTTGATGCGTTCTGTATGGGAGTCTCGTGAAATTATGACTCACACCGAAGAGCATATAAGCTACACTAAAAGACCTAACGATTCTGCAGAGCGGGGGAATCTACAAATCAAACCAGCAATAACAATACATGTTATTTTAACAACCACTATATCGATCTTAATAACGTCAAAACGAAAGGCGAGTAGCTTCAGACTTTCATGCTTTGCTAAAACCTACCGCGTTTAGCATAAACAAACCCCCAACAATCCATGCAAGATGGACCATTTATTCAAATACATGTGACCTGAAGGTATTGCGTTTAATCTCCAGTGTGGTGTTTGATGGTAATTGCAACGGAGTCCCATACTAGATTAAAATACTTATCCTCTGTTTTATGATTTCCACTAGTTGTTTAACTAACGTCAATTCGTGATATGAAAACTAAAACTGCATTGGGTAATTCACAACGTCCCGATTCACAGGCTATCAGTAATTGATAAAGAGCCCAAATCCAATGGTGTATTTGTTCAAGCCATAACAACTACACAATAGTAGCATAGATTAAAAAGCGAATACAACCATATTTATCAGATCGAAAATTTCTAAGGCAAAAAACAGTTATTAAGGAAAGAGACGATAAAAAACAGACGAAAGTACGATTAAAAATATATATTCCTAACATGATATTTAACAATTGACTGAAAAATAAAAACTTGTAAATGTATTTGCACCACTGACACTTACTTTAAGCAGCTTTGTCACCTAATTTCCTGACAGATTTCATTTGCGTACTTTTCATTTTATACATAGCTTAGAATGATTTCGTTGACCAACGCATAGTCTTTCTTCGTTGGCTAACTAGTATTCTATAAACTATCAACACCAGCTTTCTTGGTCTAATTAAGATTTAACCATTTGAATATTTCAATCAAAGTAGAATCATTATATGGACGAAAAATGCTCACTACACGTTAGGTGGTGGGAGGCAGTCGACAGAAAACCCTGAACCTAGATTCCATGTTATTTGACACTAGTTATCAAGGCGTACCTCCATTTTTCGGGGAAATATGTTCAAACCCGGGTCACCTAGATTCATAACCTTGAGAGGTTTCCATGGAGCTTTTCGGTCGTGACTGACCTGTTTATATTATTTTCAATAAATTCTCTTCAGGTTACATGATTTCTAGCTTAAAGTAATAATCTTAAGTAAAATGGTCACTTTTGAGTTAAAGCCATTAAAAAAAACCCAAAAACATGAATTAAGGATCGTTAGTAAAATGGATTTGTACGCGTTGAAATGAATAACATGTAACATATATTTCGGTCAGATTATAGCTTAAGCCAATTTCCAAATCTCACCTAATGTTAGATGACAACTACCTTTGGGTGTTGGAAAATTTAAAACCCAACCGACTTTGACAAATTATCGCCAGTCAAGTAGATTGAAAACGATTGTTAATTTGAAGGCTGTTTTTACAAGATCGGTTAAAATAAAACTACTCCTTTACTTAGTTACTTATTCAAAAACACAGAAGAAGTAAAACATCATACTTTGTGTAACCATTAACAGAATATTTGATGTGGTTAGTAATTAAATTACAGGGTTTGATGTATTTATGGAGACCAATATAAGCTCTCTGTGATATTGTTCAAGAATTGACCCCACTATGGCGGGGGTCATTAGACACTAAGGGACATTGGATAGCTGTTTCATCTTAGTATAAGACTTTAACAGTATGCCCTCACGAATTGATTAAAGCTAAAAATGTTTACTCTTACATGTCAACTCGGAGGTCTGACGGTTAAGCACTCTCCTAAAGACCTGAGTTTTCGGGGTTGGATCCCTGTTTCAATGCAATGTACGTAACCCTTTGATTTGAGCTTCTTTCAAATTCCATATGTTCTGATGTTGATGACGATATAATGGGATAAAAAGGTGACATCATTTTCGGTCAATATTTTTTATATCAATTCAGTATGAATTTCATTGTATATGACCTTCATGAACCTTCATTCATCTAAGGCACACTACATTCAGTGTTTTTTCAGTAACCCTATATAATTTCTCCTGTACATTATGATACTGTGTGTAAAACCCAGTATATAAATGGGTGTATTTTTGTCTAACAACGACGTGTCTTGAGACTTTTTGAACTAGTCAATTGGTTTCCATTTGCATCAGTCTTCTGTGTTCTCGCTTTGCGTCGTGGGAATTACAGTGGTCCCCGATTGTCACGTATAAACAGTAAGACTACGGATACAAACCAGTGACACAAGCACTGCAGACGCATTTGAAGTTATGATCCAGTTGGTTATTTTTTAAATTTTTATGTCATAGTCTTTGATATGATCTGACAGAATCCGAACAAGAATAGTGTTATTTTGTACAATGCGTTGATTGGTTTAACATTTTCGCATAAATATTCATGTATATTAGAGTAAAGCCTGATGACGATCAAATTGAAAACAATTGTTCGCTTATATGTGTTGTTCTAATTTTCACAATGAGAATCTTTAACATTCAAAAAGGTGTAATTAAACAACACTTATTTGTTTACTTCAGTTAAATTGAGTTGAAGAAGTTTTCTGTGACATGTCGTATTTCTAAGTTTCAAGAGGCAAGATAGAAATAAATTTACTAGTTACTTAAAAACGCAATTAGTATGTGAAAAAAAACAATTGATTATTTAAATACTCTTGTTCGTCGTACTACTCACTCTTAATTTTATAAATTATTGACTTTAAATACAAACTATCAGTGTGGAAAAAACTATTTGTTCAAAGCAAAATGATATCATTTATGCTTGTTTTTTTAAAAAGTCAGAATATGATATATATATTTTCTGATATGCGTGAGTGTGACTGACTTAATCATTACTAATTATCATTGTTCAATATGTATTATTATGCAACTTCAAAGACTACATAATGTACTCACAATTGAGGCGATTTTCCAAGTCCTAGTGAGCAGTCGTAACCAATAGAGTTGAACCATTTCAAAGGTGTTTTGTTCTCTGAGTCCTATCGTATAATCGTCGGATGTGGATCAGTTACACACTAATAACATTGGAAGATATGTTTACAGAATGGTGAAATGCAAGCTATTGGATTCCAACTCAGTGGTGTAAAGGTTAAGTTTGCACCATGAGACCTTATAGTCCCAGTTTTGATCCTTGGTGAGCTCTGTCGAGGAGTTTCATATTAGGATCTAACCCACGACTGCCAGGTCTCATAATGAACGTATAACTATTAGAATCACTGAATTACCATTCAATGGTTGACATTCATAACTTTGCAGTATTTCTCAGCCATCCTTCAATTATAATAGTAGGTCACATATAAGAACAAAAAAGCTGTCTACTCCTTTTTTCAGTGAGTGTTTTACCTAGAATAGTTCGTGGTATTAAGTATGAAATCCAATAATCTGGACAAGTATCTTATGGTAATAATTCCAGTATAAGTACTTAAAAGTCCTAAGTTTACTAACTTATTAAAATGACAGGGGACTTTAACTATAATTTTTTAACTTTAGTACTCTATAAACTACTCTATGTTTTTGTTTTACACATAATAACTGTCCTTTATCCAATTTCGTAACTATAAGTAAGATTCAGGACTTTTAGTAATAAATGCCGTTTGATTGTCACTCAATTATACTCTAGTGAGAATTAAACGAGTTTTCACGTTAGAGGGGATATTGCCTTAATTAATTCGTCGAATCATCCGATTTACAATTAGATAACTTCTTTAATCGTACATCTAAATCAGTAATACAATTATTTTTCATACCCTTGTGTTACATGTTCGGAATCCTACTATATTCAATTATATTTCACCTTGCGTATAGTTATTGAATCACGAGTGACTTTAGTACTCCAAAAACCCAGTTGATCATGATATACTATGCATCAATTTTTAGTTTCAAGCTATACGCGTTTCTTCCTTTAGTATGGTGAAAAATATAGTACTTATACTCAGATGAGTATAGGAGTTTAGGCTACAAAAACTGATTAAATAAAAATCTTTGCGTGGTCGTTATTACTCTATTCTACTCTCTTTCTCTCTCGACTTCAGTAGCTTCTTAAAACGGTTTCTATATTGGCAATTTAGCGATCGTAATCAGTTTTTTTTATGTCGAATTCTATCTAAATCGTGCCTTTCCATCATTTTCTGTTGATCGCACTAATATATTTTCATATCTTTCACATAGAACCCAGAAAAATTGACCGCTTAAATGTTTAGACTATTAAATCAAAGTTTATACTGTTCATTCAATTATCTCTCTTTAATCTTATTGAGTGAAACATTAGTCTTTCTTTGATTGATGTAGTTCAACATGTACACATGTCATTCTTATTCCCTCCATGTTGTTAATAAACTTGTTGTCTATTAATGTCTATTTATTTTAGATGTGTAAACAAACAAGTAATCTAAAAATTACACAACATATATATGGTTTAGATTGCATTTTAAAAATAAACTAACTTTCTTCATTTTGTAGAATTGACCGTGGATATTCGCTCCATATTTTATAATATTGTCCAAATGTTCCATAGATAATTATTGTAAATGAAATAAGCGTGAAGCATTTTATATAGATCATAGTTTTTATTTACGACTTTCTTGCGTGTTTATTTTTTAACAAAGAAGAAAAACTGGTTTGTTTTCTCCCTTCTGTTTTTTTCTGATGATTTGTTTATTTTAATTAAATCAGTTGTAGAATGGTTAATTAGAATATACTCACTCTATATATGTATATATAGATTTCCATCTATCGTAGGTTGGTAGCTAGAATAATTAGATTCATTGGTTCTTTATCTAAGAACCAATCAAGTTTGAGATGTTTGGCTTTTATAAGATGAGTCTATCATGTTTTATGGGAAACTAGAATGCTCACACATATTTTCAGAAGATGAGTTTACTAACCGTCAGTTAGCCTATAACATGAACCAGACTTTATGGTTTTTTAGAATAGATGGATTGTGGCTAACAGGAAAATTCACGATGTACGTTTCTTCCTATTTGCGACTGGTCATCTGGGTGTGCTTCCGTATTCCAGTGTTGATGTTCATATTAGGATGTGAACTAAATGCCTTTCGTTTCGAACGTCAACACACTATTTACTGAGCTACTGAGTCCAGATAACCACTAATTTATGCAACGGGTATGATATTTACACCATTATTAGCGTGACTGTTTATGATTCACTTGTATATAGGTGATTAAGATTAGGATTGTATCCGTTAGTTTTTTAATATCCCTGATTACAGCGAGACATAGAATAAAATCAACGAAATGATTAAGAGTCGCTGGAACAACATTTAATGGATGTTATATACTTCTCTTTCAGGATATGTGTTCTTATGAGAGCATGGCGAAGTCAACTATGCCTTCTTTCTGTTTCAGATATATCTGGGCAAAGACGAATGATAATAGTCGCCTCTGTGTAGAGCAAAATAAATGCGATATCGGCTGTCTGTTAATTATTTAAGTCTTCGAATCTAATGCATCTCTTCATCAAAGCCCCATCAATCACACTTATAAAATTTTTGATTCCTCTGTCAGTTATCCTCAAGAAACCTTGCATAATATATCTATTTTCCCAAGTGTATTCGGTCAGTTAAACGCAACATAGAACGCGGTATGCGTGTACACAGACTCAATTTACCATAGCTCATCTGCATAGCCAGAAGAAAATTTCAAAATGAATCTCAGAGTAGTTGAATAATAACAGTATTAATGGTAATGCCCTGGTACGGCCGAGAGTGGGGAGAGTCCGCTCTCCCTCTCGAAATGCTCTCACATGGCCACGCGTATATAGCCTCTGCCAGGAAAGTCCTACTCACTGCCTTCTCGTGGCGGGGATGTTGTTTACGAAAATGAGAGGACGAAAACCGAATGTCCGGCGCTTTGACCGGATTCCAAATCAATGGTGCACATGGGCTTCAGTATCCTGTGGGAAAAAATGGCGTATGAACCAATTGTTGGTCATCGGCTTCAATGGGACTGCACGTTCTTACGATGCTCCACTGCCTTGTAGGTTAGACTTTCAGGTCGAAGGCTCGAGGAGTGGCCCCATAAGAAAACCACGTGCTTCGGTTTGGGCACCTGGGCAGTATCACAGCCCTCACACATACCGAATGAGATTTGTGTGGTGCATATGTATTTGGTGCCTCCTTGTACAAATATCTATGTGTTAAAATAAATAAATAATGGTAATATGAAAGTTTAGGTATCCAAGATACAATTCAAGAAAAAATTATAAGCTACTGAGATATTTAAAAAGAAATTTGTGAGGAATTGACGAACCTAAGATTGTAAAGAGTACGAAGAGAATGCAATGCACCGTTGCAGATAATTTCGAGCTGTCGTTCGAAGTCTCTGAACATTGGTTGCCTTAATCTAGTAGATTTCAACCAGGTAGTGTGTAAGTGCTTAAATGCCCAGTCGAATAGGGATTGTTTACATGAATTGATGTCACGTCTTGATTTGACCATACTAACTTTATTCCAACCTGCCACATTTTCCATCATTTGCTTCGAGGTTAGTGGTGGTTAGGCGTATGTAGCATATGTTTCACTAACAATAGTTGAAAAATATTTACTACCTCATCAGTTACATCTGATTTCGTAAATACCAAGATTATGTTTATTATCAAAAATATTCTTCATTTACATTTCTATACACTTTAGGATGTCTATCGTATATATCAAGCTGTTTTACGCTTACCATATGCTGTTTCATTATTGAATCAATACACGGGATCCAAACGATCAACAGTTTACGAATGTCTTATAACACCTTTACAAGTAAATTAGTTGTTAATTCTACGTCTATATTATTTATTTATTTCATGCCTATATTCGACTGTACTCATCTAAATGATAATCAAGATTCAGAAATTGTGAAACTTCATATCTGTGTTTTTAAATTCATCGGTATCATTTGTAAAGTGCCCAAGTGATAGTTTCCAGTTAAGCGTGGTTGGAAATCTCAAGTGACATGAAATAACATCAGTTCTTTTGTATCCGAAAATGATTAAATTATGTGTAACTTCTGGAACATATAGACTGTTATTTTATATATATATATATATATATATATATATATATATATACGGCCGAAAGTCGGGAGAGTCCGCTCTCCCTCTCGAAATGCTCTCACATGGCCACGCGTATATAGCCTCTGCCAGGAAAGTCCTACTCACTGCCTTCTCGTGGCGGGGATGTTGTTTACGAAAATGAGAGGACGAAAACCGAATGTCCGGCGCTTTGACCGGATTCCAAATCAATGGTGCACATGGGCTTCAGTATCCTGTGGGAAAAAATGGCGTCTGAACCAATTGTTGGTCACCGGCTTCCATGGGACTGCACGTTCTTACGATGCTCCACTGCCTTGTAGGTTAGACTTTCAGGTCGAAGGCTCGAGGAGTGGCCCCATAAGAAAACCACGTGCTTCGGTTTGGGCACCTGGGCAGTATCACAGCCCACACACAAAAAATGATGAACTGTCTATATATATATATATAATATTATATAACTCTTAAGTAACTAGATTATATGTTTACATTCCTTTCGTCATAAGCTTTCATTTGGCTACCGCAATACGATTTGCCATTCTTAACTTGTTCCCAACATATCGGTCACAGTATCCCACGTTCACCGATACTTTTGGCGTGGTCTTGTATGACATTTCTTTTTTCATTCTGTATTATGATGCGGTCTGGTCTGCTTGTATGTAGACCGAGTATGTCTGAAATATACGATCCACACAGTGGAGTCTGATATTTTTGTTCTAGACTGAACGGTCTGTGCTAGGCGAGAAGTTGCTATACGGAAGACCAATAGGAATTGAGAGTTGACTGAAGGCTGTTCGTGCTGGTTAACGCATCATTGCTTTAACAAAGGGACAAGGTTATATAAGTCGGTATTCAAAAAGGCGATTTTATCACATGTTATTTGATGGACCATAGGACAACAAGTTGGCGACGGGATGGAAAGTCTACGACCTCGACTTTCACAAAGGAATCAAGGCCATCCAGTAGTTGAACGAGAATCAGTGTAATTATTTGAACACAACGTACAGAGCTGTCGTCGGTGTCCTTGCACGACATTAGTTATTAATTAGTCATTCAGTCTTTTTCTTATTACTGTTCTGACTCATGCAGAAGAAGAAAATCAATATGTCAACTTTAATGGAGCAAATGCAATTATTTCTTCAGTAACAGCAGAGTCAATTTTTAGCTTCTCAAGAACAGATGCTTACATCACTTACATCAAAATCTTCAATCCAGTCCAAATGCACCACAAAAGATGAGGAAATAGAACCATTACTTAAATTAGTCCCAAAACTTATTTTTGATTCGGAAAGTGGTCATATATTTGAATTATGGTTCGCTAGCATCGAATATTTTTCTCAGATGAAAGGAACGTAAGATTGGTATCACAAAAACTTGACCCACAAGGACACTAAATATGGAAATTTTATCCTGCCAAGACACCCAAGGGAGTTGAGTTTTGATGAAACCGTTGGTATTTTGAACAAGATATTTTGTGAACAAGCTTTGTTATTTCATATTCGTTATAGATGCCTCCAGTTAAAAAAATACTCTGGTGAAGATTATCTGACGTAGGCAAGCAGGATTAATCTACAAGTTGAACGCTTAAATTAAGTACATTATCAAATGACCAATTTAAATGCTTGTTGTTTGTTTTTGGACTATAGTCTTCCACAGATGCCGATGTTCGAACTCGATTATTATCCCGTATTGATGATGAAATGGTACTACAAATGATCACGGCATTGCCAACGCTTGCTAAATTTAAAGCATGGCACTGCAATGGTAGGAACTAGATGAAAAACCCTGAAAAATAGTAATATCCATGCTGTTAAATTCGAGCAGTGTAGTTCGTCGTATTAATCCGTATTATGTTGTTGATATTTTTAGATACGCCGCAGTGTAGGAGACGATACCATATATTTCACCTATCCATACTGTCAAACGCTTTCTCATAATGAAGGAAGTTGATGTACGGTGACGACTTCTATTCATTTGATTGTTCAACTATGATGCGTTGCTTCTACCTTTACATGGTTATTGGGTTCGCCTATCGTAATAAAGCAATTGAGCTATACTGTGCTGGAACAATCGTTCCTCAAGGTCCTTCTATACCAGACAGGTCGATTAAAGAGCGATAGGACTAAAAGCAACAAACCAAAGGTTCGAGGGCGAAGTCGTACTGCTGACTGTACAGAGGTGTGACAGCGGTTAGGTGTTTTCTTCAGACAATTAGAATAATAGGGATGCAGGGGTGGATTTAGAAAAGTTCGACCCTAAAAATCCACACATCATCCCAGCAATTACGGAGCTTACACGGAAATTAATCATTAAAAGATCATCTGTAACCAAGCTCAAGCAGTTGTCTCTTGAACACTGCGGTCACACTCTCAGGTCACTAAATTCACTACTTACCCAAGTTCTTTTTCAGGTGCCTCTAGAAGAACCCTTCTACATTGTGGGCAACTGTGAAGTTATTACTGCCGTCATACCTCTAACAACACTCAAGATCACTGTGGTGTCGAGATTCGAGCAATGATTTTTGTCCATTGTTAATTATCACATGTTATGATCACCAATCAAAACACCGACTGTGTCAAACCGATGACGTGTTAACCAGTTTGAGCAGCCTAGTGCCAATTTTACTTCTTCACACCTAGCCTTTTTGTTAGGTTCTGAAACACAAATCTCAGCTTCCACTATATGAATCATATGGTTCGGACATACTTGGTTTATATACAAGTAAACCAGACCACACCATAAAATAAGAAATAACAATTATACGAGAACAAGCCAAAAAGTGACTGTTATTGTGAGAGACTGTAACTAACATGTTGAGAATAACTTAGGAATATTAAATCGTATAATAGTAGTTAATAGGTCAAATAAAAGCTTATGATAAAAAGAATATAAACATAATCTAATTATTTAACAGTCTATAAATTGTCTCCAGGAGTTACCCACAATTTAATCTTTTCCGGTTATAACAACATTGATATATCGATTCTCAGTTTCCATCTAATGAGTTATAAATCTGAAGAAACTTCTTTCCCTAGCTTCATTTGTAATCAGTGTGATTTTTATATGTATCATAAATATGAATGTGGAAAGTTGTGCACTACGCTTACATTTTTCCTTTATTGCGCATTAACAGATGTGTTTATCAGTTACACAACAAATTTAGCTTTACTGTTTTTGTAATCAGATTATGTCTTAATTCCCTTAACCTGCATTGTGTAAACAAAAAACAATGTATGACCTGTTTCTTTCCACAGAATACTTTTCATTTTTCATTGTTACTATTATTATCGTTATTATTACTAACAATAATATTTCAAAATGTTTACTATCGTCCGTTGAACAGAAAGGTTTTTTTTGAAAATATGCACAAAAATAGCATCTTTATATTCATGTGAATTATTATTTATGTTTACAATCTGTTGTTTATTTCACATAGATTGGATAAAAATGTTTTAAGTATTTATATCTATTTATGAATATTTGTTGTGTTTTTTTCAAATTTATTATATCGATGGTGTGTTACTATTTCATCACAGTATCCATTCATACATGATGAATATCCAGGCATGCTGAAAAATGCACGGTGAAACGTTTTTAAAATATTGTTAAAATCATTTTAAGCGATCTTATCGCATCAACACGACGTGATGAAATTAAAAAGAATAGCAAATTAAATCGAATTAATGTTAGTTTCAATGGTAATGTAAAGTATTGAACATTAAGAGTACTGTTCGAAAAGACAAAATGAAAAGCTATTCTTGAAGAAATGCTGCAAATCAAGATTTACAAAAAAAGAGTAAACGTATCTTCCACAGCACACAATATCTCCAACAAGCTATCGTGATTATCAATCTAATCGCTATCAAGTAGTCTACCCTTGCCAACGTGGCTCAGACCAACAGTCAATGACTAGTTCCAGTTATATGCTTTTGCTCTCCATATTTTTTTCAACCAGTTCCCATACCACCAAATATCGAAGTAGGCTGTTGTTCGACATCAGTAATACATTCATCACCTCAGTTGATGAAGATCTTATACCTAATCAATTAATCTGCCTGCTATGTTTGAAGGGATTACGAGCTCACCTAAATCTGCAAAAGGAAACGGAGATTCAGCGACACAATGACCAGAGAAGCTAGCTATTCTGATGCGTCCCAGCTTCTGCTAACTAGAGTGAGGTCCAGGTTCAGAAGAAGGGAAATATATTCCACAAGCAGCCAAAAGCATCAGCAACATCAACAAGCACAACTTAAGCGTATATATACAGCATAGAAATGTCCATGGAAAACATCATGAAATATCATAATAAAATGGACTACAAACCGAATAGGAAGTGGGATATGAAGGTGAAAATAAGAAATTCAAATATCCAAAATAAAATTACAAAAACAAGACATTTATTAAGCGAGTTCTGAGGATCTAGCATCCTCAACACTACTTTGTGTCTAGTCTCAACATCGCTCATTCAGTCGCATTACGAATCATAATCAATGTTTCCAATATTTATACTTTATCAAATTTCACAACTTTGAGTGGTTGAGAACATAAACTTTCATAATCTGTTATCTGAATTTTTCTAATAGGGCGAATTAAAATAAATTTGTTACAATTTATCTATGTATAAATCTGAAATTGGCGTATGACGGAATCTGAACATAACTCTTACTGGACAAATAATTCTGATAGTTGTGTATAAATATATGTTTCGAATTGCATTAAAATGTGGTATGCAATTGAAAAGAAAAACTTTGAGCACAGTAAATTTCTACTCTCTGTTTCTACTTAAATGGAGTCTGAAAACACTAGATTGTAATCACATTGTTTAATAACTAACAATAACTATAGGAATTATCATTCTTTTTATGTAGTCATTCACTTGTTCCTAGTTTTACATAGTTTATTTATAGCCTATGTGATTAGTATATCACCTAGACAATCAAAAATACTGTGCCATATACTTTAAACTTCGACTATCATATCGAACGTTGATTAATAAATATGAAAATAAACTTATCACTTTATTAAGATCTCCGATTCGTCTTTGATACTAGATTTGGAATTTATCCAATTTAATTATTATTATCACTATACTGAAATCTCCCTACCGTTGCTTCTACCTTTACATAGTGGTCGGGTTTGCCTATCGTAATAAAGCAATTGAGCTATACTGGCTGGAACAATCGTTCCTCAAGGTCCTACTATACCAGACAGGTCGATTAAAGAGCGATAGGACTAAAAGCAACAAACCAAAGGTTCGAGGGCGAAGTCGTACTGCTGACTGTACAGAGGTGTGACAGCGGTTAGGTGTTTTCTTCAGACAATTAGAATAATAGGGATGCAGGGGTGGATTTAGAAAAGTTCGACCCTAAAAATCCACACCTCGCCTTATCCCACGAATGTCCGTCTCCGGATTCTAGCGTGGTCATTCAATTAATTTAACCTCGACAAAACGGAGAGCCGACGTTATACACTCGTTTATCTAGCGATCTGATGGCTCTTTTTCGTAGACTGGCGGGTGGAGGCATTGCACTGCGTACGAGGGCAGAACAAGCACTATAAGGATGGATCACCGTTAACAGTCACCTATGCGCAATTCGGTTAAAAGGCTCCGAAGGAACTCGAAAATTTGGAACACAGATTGTCAACTTTTCATCGTCTCTGTATTCGCTCCAATATGCTAATTCTTTAAAAAGCTAAACGCTGAGACAGTACCCGTAGCAGGTGACTATGTAGACTGAGAAGTTCTGTGGCACTGTCTGTCATTGAAAGAAGTGCATAAAATTTGTGAGGGCTCTTTTCTCGATCACTAACAGTCTAGTCAGAGCTTATGGCGTGTCATGTATGCATGAACGCCGATTACCACGACGCTCATAGTCGACCTCAGTGACACGCATGCATTCACATGCTACCTCTATAGATCAGTGTTTCCAATATTCCTGCATACATACCTTCCCATCAACTTTTCGAACCACATTCTTAATGTTTATTCTTTCTTATTATGCTTGCTGCTACATTATTTCGGTTTCTCTGACGTACATTTTGTTAATTTCATTTCGTCAACCTAACGTGATATGACAACTTAGACCAACGCCTGTTTGAGCCGGGCCCTATGTTGATATCTATTTTTCTGAGTTCACTCTTATCAAGCAGCTTTCGTTGACATACATTTTTGTCTGTCTCTTTGTTGATTATTTCTAACTGGCTGTCCCAAGTGCTAGTTGTTTGTTGAAAAATTATTAATCCAAAGACATTTAAATTCCCAAACGTAACTCTTAGAATCTGAAGATTACCGTTAAGTACATTAATTTTCTTTATCCATCATTTGGTCCTGTTGTGTTTCGGTGTGCTTTGAATACGGCGAAATTTGTCATAATCTGATGGTGGGATGATTCACTGGACGACTGACGGCAACAGATTTTCCATCAGTAATCTGAAAGTTTCTACAAGTTGTATATATTTCTGTTAGAAACCCTTGAAACTATACCATATATATTGCAGGCCTCAGGGTATTTTACTGATTACATGATCATTCTACGACACCGCTTCACGAACAGAAAATAATTAACATGAGTTTCAATAATAATGTAAAACCAAAACTCAATTGAAAACTTGTTACGAGACATTACTACAAAATACATCCACATAAGCATACGAGGCGATGATTTTAGGTTTGTTTACAGTCAGTCAGTCATACTCAATGTAGGACCTGTCACATGTGAACCGGTGTAAGTTGTCACACTACACTAGCATAGCGAAATGAAATTATCAAGATAAATCCCAGATTGTTAGAAAGTTTAACAATACCAGTAATAATAGAAAGGATTAGGTAGACAACAAACGGAAAAGTTGTAGCCTTATTATAATATTGATTCGATAGCATGAAATGCCAAGCAAAGCCAACTGCTTTGCATAGAAAATGTTTGAAAGTAGGTACACCAGTAAAACAGATGAATTTCAAGTACAGATTGTGATTGAAATCCACAATAATCTAATTATATTTGCTTTCCGGTGGGTATAATAGCAGCATCTGACTGAATAGTATTCAAAAACAGATTACCTTTCTCGTAGAGCAAAGAGCCATTTGAGTTTTCTTTTTCAGATCGCAGGAAATAGATCAAGTCTTGTGGTTTAATTGTGTGCGAGAATTCAGCTTAAATAGGCAAAAACAAAGAGCTTTATGAGATCATAACTGGAACCAAACCACATTTATATAAATGTGGATCAAAACTAAGAGTAAAATTTCAGTTTTTATCTCTTCAGATACAAGTACCAAAAATGGGGACTAACTAAAATCATAGCTGCTGTCGTTAGTCAAAAATCCCTCGACATTTGATCAGCTATATTCACAATGGTTTTAAACTTAAGTCATCAGTGAACTTTTTAAAAGTAATATCTATCATGAATTTACGTATCGATAAGGATGATAAATGCATTGCTTTTTATATATTTTTTTCTCTCTGCTCTCCTAAGAAAGCCATGGATAACTTCATTCTGTTTAAAGATCTAGTGGAATCCAACATAGATTTGGACTATGTTAACCAACGAAATGAGTTCATTATTCGTGCTGATAAAGATCCGTTGCTACAAGGTTAGTGTCACATGGATCACTGTTTTTGATTGTTCTTTATGACTATTGTAAAGACTGATTTCCTTGATCAAGAAATAGACCGTCTATTGAAAATGCATTTCCTATCCCTCGCTCATATTTTCTGTTACAGCTCAATATCTTTAGCTGTCACACTCAAAATATAGTATATCTCAACGTCGGACAAACTATCTTGCGTATTAATTTTCTTCCAGAATTTTTAATAGTCCGATCCGCCTTGTAGATGTTATTATTACTTTTTAAAAGTAATAAATTAAAAATTATTCTCTTTCGTTTCAAAATCTCTTAATCATAAAAAAGTTGCTTGGTTTTTTTGTGCTTACTAATTATTCTATCTTATTCTAGTTTACATCTAGCATGACTTGTTTTGGCATTGCAAATCTACTATGCATAAATCATTGTTTTTTTTTACCATATTATTATAGTTATAATTATGATAATAATGATAATAGTAATTATTATTAATGATATCATTATTATTATTATTTCACATACATAATTAGAAATAAGGAATAAATTAGACAATCTGGAGGAAAGAATTCGGGATGAATTTAGACGTGTAAGTACCAATTTATAGTTATTTCTTGTATTTCTTGTTACAATTATTGATATATATATGCATACTTATTATTAAGGTATTTTTTGTGAATAAATGTCAAACAGGACGATATTTTTTAAAACAGTGGATTGTTGTGTATGGCGGGCAGATATATATATATATATATATATATATATATATATATATATATATATCTGCCCGCCATACACAACAATCCACTGTTTTAAAAAATATCGTCCTGTTTGACATTTATATATATATATTACGTTAAGCTGTCTATCCGTACTCTAGTTCCAACTTTACATTTAATTAGTTCACACTTTGGAGTTTGTGTTAATCATTATCTACTCATTCTTCCTTTTTGAATCTCATTTCCTATGTCTCAATTTTTTATAATCACATTGATACTGCTACTTTGGTGTTCACATTGATAATTTCACTTTGGTTTGCTAATTTCCTGTGGAAATATGAATCGATGCACAATATTCATCAGGTTTTTACTTTGATTAAAACTGATTAACCTATTGACTGTTGCACACATATTCATCGATTATTCTATTCCTAGTTTAATGATTCCCATAGAGTATTCAAAACTGAACCTGAACGACTGGTTAGATTCCTAATTTTCACTGAGGGTTTCATTTCAAGCTCCAGCCTTTTCTCCACTTACCTTTTTTCAAAAATAACAGAACACACTGAACCTTTTTAATCGAAATAATTTTTCGATTGAAGGAGCCAGTTCTGGCTGTTAAGGTTCACATATATGTGTACATACGTTGTTTTTCTTCTGGAAAACACTTCTACGTGAAGTAAGTCGTGATAATGTTGCCCAGAATGTCTAAAAAGCCATTGCAATTATACTGTCTAGCTCATAAAGCTCAAAAACGATAAAAGTATTCACTTGAACTGAAAATCTCTATCATTCCAAATCTGCTGGGGTTTCAGCTCAGGATGTTTTCTTAAGTAAATATTGTCTGTGTTCAATATCGTTTTGTGGTTTTATGGTGCATCCCATCTAGATTAGGTTGTTGAATTGAATTATTCACCACAAAAATCTAGTTTTTTGACTGACATAGTTCTATCTCCTTTGCTTCCTAATAAGCAAGCAATTTTGCTTAAATGAAATCCAAAGCCGTAGCAAAATCTATCGCATGTAATTCAATTGAGTATTTTGCTTTAAATATATAATCTATATTACCTTTTTAGTTATCTTGAAGACGTATTTTTGTGTTGGGTTAATGAAATCTCTTCATGAATATAAAAGAGGCCGCTCGACTTGTACTACCTGTGCTACATACAAGACGGGTTATCTATCTATCAGAGGACAAGGATATTGCTCAGCAACTCCTTGCACTAGTTTTTTATTTTAAAATATGTCTACTCTAGGTAGAAAACATATACATAGGTTCCATCTAATTAATCACAGGTGTTTTCAAATCAGTACGGTCTGTTGTTTCAATCAGGTTGCATCGCGAGCCGTCACACAAATAAGGTATAGCTCAAAAGTAATTCAGTATATTTATACTTAGTAACTCAGTCAATCCTTCTTGCCTATAGCGTGTTAATTTTGACCAATATTACTATAGGCAATTGACTTTATGATTATGATCTCACCTATTGATTTTAAGGCTCTTGTTATCAGGTAGAATTGTAGGCCGAATTGTGTACTTAAAACAACTTTTTCAATCATAGTATTTACGATAAAATTTATTTCTTATGACTCGTTTTTATCGAGCTAAAAATCAATAATCTTGGGGGAGATATCATCCTAATAACTCATGTTTTTCTGAGAAATGTTGACTACAAGATATTCCCTGTCATTTCTTCTAAAATCAAAACTCATTCGATTTCTTTACGTGAGTCTACAATAATCAATACAGGGACTACTAGTTCAAGTTATGATACCTATTATCGCTTATTCATTATTCATATAATCAGTGTTTGTCCCATTGGAGGATGATAATTTAATGGTATTTTCATGAATAATATATCGGTCGGTCGACTTAACAATCACTATTAAATGAAGTGGTCTAATATTTGACTTATTTTTAATCTGTAAAGTTTTATTTAAAGCTCTCACCGTTATTATTATTACCGTTATTATCATTACTATTGTTATTACGGCTATTAATACCACTATCATTATTACTATTATCATTATTAATATTATTATGACCATTATTATCATTATTATTATTACCATTACTATTACTGCTATTCTTCTTCTTATTATTATTGCTATTATTATTACTGCTACTATTGTTATCATTAGTACTACTACTATTATCATTATTATTACTATTATTATTAATGTCTCCAAATCCCCATACTAATAATAATTAGTTTGTTGCTGTTAAGCTGTCGTAAACATGTTTTTTCCTACTTATTAACATCTAAAATACCGTCCCTACTAGGTTACTTACTTACACCTGTTACTCCTCGTGAAGGAGCATAGACCGCTCACCAGCATTCTTCATCCAACCCTGGCTTGAGCATTTCTTTTCATATCAGATTCCATTTCCCAACGTAATGTGTTCTTTGGCCTTCCTCTTTTCTCCACTTACCTTCAGGATTCCAAGTCAGGGCTTGCCTCGTGATGCAGTTTGATGATTCGCGTAATGTATGTCCTATCCATTTCCATCGTCTTTTCGGAATTTCCTCTTCAGCTGAAAGCTGGTTTGTTCTCTCCCACAGTAGTAGGTTGTTTCTGATGGTATCCGGCCAATGGACATTGAGTATCTTGCGTAGACAACTATTTATAAATATTTGTGCCTTCTTGATGATGGTTGTAGTAGTTCTTCAAGTTTCAGCTCCATACAGTAGAACTGCCTTGACGTTCGTATTGAAGATCCTGACTTTGATATTGATTGACAGTTGTTTTGAGTTTCGTATGTTCTTCAACTATAGGAATGCGATCCTTGCTTTGCCAATCCTCGCCTTTACGTCTGCATCTGATCCTCCTTGCTCATCGATGATGCTTCCTAGGTATGTGCCCGACCGTTGTTGCTACCTTGACGTGGTGGTCGGGCTTGCCTATCGTGATGAAGCAACCGAGCTATACTGGCTGGAACAATCGTTCCTCAAGGTCCTACCATGTCAGACAGGTCGGTTGAAGAGCGGTAAGACTAAAAGCAACAAACCCAAGGTCCGAAGGCGAAGTCGTACTGCTGACTGTAGAGAGGTGTGACATCAGTAAGGTGTTTCCTTCAGACAACCAGCATGACAGCGATGCTGCCTTCCCACAAGGAGGGGTGGGGTTAGAAAAGGTCGACCCTAAAAATGCACACCTCACCTTACCTCATGGATTTCCGTCTCCGGCGGCAAGGCCCTTTGAAGAACGTAGCTAACAAGTCAAAAACCTCCCACGAAAAGGCCGTGCGCGACCGGCCTCAAGCAATTGTCCCTTGGGCACTGCGGTCACGTTCTCAGGTCACTAAGACCACCTCTAATCCAAATTCGTTTTCAGGTACCTCCAGAAGAACCCTTCATCGGTGTGGGCAACCGGGAAGCGATAACCGCCCTCATACCTCTAACAGCACCTGAGACCACTGTATTCATAATCAACCTTCCTCTTCAATTCCTTTTATTCCTCCTACATCGACTTTCAACTCTAAACTCCCTTTTTCGGCTTCCTCCTCAAGTGTCACCATAGCCAACGATTCTAGTGCTCAAAACTCTGTCCCAGGTCCACTGAAACCTCGCTCCAAACTACACATTGGAGCCTTCAACGTACGCACCCTATGTCAAATCGGTCAGCAGGCTTCCTTGGCTAAAACCCTAGAGTCTCTTTCCATTGATGTATGCTGTGACTCCGAAACACGCATACAGGATTCCAGTGTGGTCATTCACTTGACCTCACCTCGGCAAGACGCAGAGCCAACGAGATACACCCTCCGTATATCTGGTGACCCGATGGCCAGTTCTCGTGGACTGGCAGGTGTCGGCCTAGCACTAAGCATGAGGGCGGAACAAGCACTGCTAGAGTGGATCCCCGTCAACAGTCGTCTATGTGCTGTTCGGTTAAACGGCTCCGTAAGAACTCGGAAGGATAGGGATACACGTTGTTGCCTTTTCGTCGTTTCTGCCTACGCTCCCACTGACTGCATCTCAGATGATGTGAAAGATGAATTTTACAGAAAGCTTTCTGAAGAAGTTCAGAAAGCTAAACGCCCAGACATAGTACTCGTAGGGGGTGACATTAATGCTCAGATAGGTAGCTTAAACCAAACAGAAAGGCATTTAGGTGGATATTTTAGCATTCCGGCACAGCGAACAGATAATGGTGACCGTCTGCTGCAACTGTGCTCAGACAATCGCTTATTTTTAGCAAACACAAATTTTAAGCATAAGGAGAGACATCGTCTAACATGGCGACCCCCTACACCAAACCAACGATGGACTCAAATAGACTATATTGCCATCAGTCACCGTTGGAGAGGGTCGATAAAAGATTGTCGCTCATTCTGGAGTACCTGCTTGGACTCCGACCACGCCCTAATACTGGCACGCATCTGCTTGCGCCTCACTGGACGCAAAAAAGCCACAGTAAAAAGACCCATTCGAACCGAACTGAGTGTTGAGTAAACCAAAAGTAGGGTCCAGGAACAACTGAGGTCACGATTAGGTAGTTCTGAAAATGAGGTTGACCCAGTTGTTTCTTGGAAAGCCATACAAACAGCTGTGGAAACAGCGGTGACATCTATCAATGATTTAAACCACAGGTTTACAAAGAACCAGTGGATTTCTTCAAGGTCTACTGCACTGATGAATTCTCGTAAACTCATCCCATCAGGTTCAGAACACGATGAAGAGCGACAACAAATCAGATCTAGGTTAACCAAAAGTCTAAGGAACGATCGTGAGCAGTGGTGGGCAATGAAAGCAAAAGAGATGGAAAAGGCGGCGGCTATAGGGAACACAAAACAGCTTTACAGACTAATAAAAGAAACTGGAATTAATAAGTGTAAGTGAGATTATATCGGAAAAAGACGATACTCTCATCTGCTCCCAGTCCAGACGTTTAGAACGATGGGCGGAACATTTCAGAGAACAGTTCAACTGGCCTTCAGCTGCTCTACAACTACCCTCCATTCACAGAGAGTGTGAATGGAACATTGAAGTAGGTCCCCCAACTCTTGCTGAAGTTCAAAAGGCTATAGTTAATCTGAAACGAGGAAGGGCAGCTGCTTCAGATGGATTGGCTCCAGAGGTCTCTAAGGATGGTGGTCCAATTTTAGCGATTAGGTTGACTAATATTTTAGCTAAGATCTGGGAGTTAGACGTTATTCCATCTAACTGGTCACAATCACTCATCGTCCCAATATATAAGTGAGGGTCGAAATCATCCTGTGACAACCATAGAGAGATTAGTTTAACCAATATAGCATCTAAAATATTATCTTCGATGATTATCCGACGCCTAAATAAGACTCGTGAACTGCAAACACGAGAGCATCAAGCTGGCTTCAGACTTGGTCGTGGCTGTATCGACCACATATTCACCATTCGTCAGGTTCTAGAACACAGGCATACTTATCGGCGTCCGACAATGGTGGTCTTTCTTGACTTAAAAGCAGCATTTGACTCGGTAGACCGCGAGATTCTGTGGCAGTGTCTGTCATTGAAAGGCGTACCTCAGAAGTACATAAACCTTGTGAAGGCTCTTTACTCGAACGCTACCAGTCGAGTGGGAGCTTATGGCGAACTGTCATCTGCCTTTGCAACCTCAAGTGGTGTCCGTCAAGGCTCTCCACTTTCTCCATTTTTGTTTAACTTCATCATAGATTTACTGATGGAAATAACTTTCTTGTCGACTGAGTTCTCGGGTATTGATCTCCATCCAGGAGGTCCACTTATCGACTTAGAATACTCAGATGACATAGCCCTGTTTGGTGAGGACGCTGATAAAATGCAGAGTCTTTTGGTAGCACTAAGCAACAATGTCAGAATGTTTGGAATGCGCTTCTCTCCCTCTAAATGCAAGCTGCTGCTTCAGGACTGGTCTGCGTCAACACCTGAACTAAGGATAGGGAATGAAGTAGTCGCACGCGTTGGCAACTTCACTTATCTTGGAAGTCTGATCAGCCCCAATGGGTTGGTGTCTGACGAAATCTCAGCACAAATTCGAAAAGCTCGTTTGGCTTTTGCCAACTTACGTCACCTATGGCGAAGGCGAGATATCTGTCTATCAATAAACGGACGAGTATACTGCACGGCAGTTCGTTCTGCTCTATTTTACGGCCACGAAACATGGCCATTAAGAGTAGAAGACACTCGTAAGCTACTAGTATTTGACCACAGATACCTTAGAAATATTGCTGGCGTCTTCTGGAATCACCGGGTAAGTAATAGTGAGGTTAGACGCAGGGTTTTAGGGAATGATGGTAAATCAGTTGATGAGGTTGTGAATCTTCATCGACTGAAATGGTTGGGCCACGTGTTACGTATGCCCGAACACCGATTACCACGACGTGCAGTGCTAACCGGGGTAGGGGATGGTTGGAAGAAAGTTAGGGGCGGCCAAACCAAAACGTGGCATCAGTGCTTGAAGACACTAACTTCTAGTCTGAGCCATGTTGGTAGATGCAGACTACTTGGTTGGGGTCCGCGTGACTTTCGTAACCAATGGTTGGAGACTCTTAGTGATATAGCTAAGAATCGATCACAATGGCGTCGGTGTATACACTCTCTGTCTTCCCTTGAACTAAGAGATTAAAATCGCTTCATAGCTTTCTTTCTACGAACTAATTCTTTCTTCCTGTACTATATCCTTATTGCAATCTTTCTTTTATATATTACCACCTCTGAATTAACTACTTTTATGAATCCCGTGTCCATCTTGTTGTGTTAATGGGGTATGACAACTTGGACCGATGCATATATGTGCCTGGTCCTACGTTGTAGCTGACTGACTGATTCATGCCTGAGAGTTAAGTTTCCCCACCCTAAGCTCTACCAGGGTATTTTCGGCCAATGACAAAATGACAAAGAAGATCCTTGGGGCGCGCTGGTTAGGCAGACCACTCACTGAAGCATGCGTAATTTACTGTAAGGACGTAACCACCTCCATTGCCCGACAAAAGTGCTATTTGACAGTTGTACCTGTAATCTTGAGAGAACTGGTGCCTCGTAACGGACTGGGTAAGGCGTCATTCAGCATTACAATCACAAACGTTACCACTGAGTAATTCTGGCTGCGACCGACTTTTTGTAGGACGAAGGTAGATTTACAATCAATTTATCACTAAGCAGTGACCATCAAGATGTATATCAATTCTTTAGTGTTGATCTGATTCTAACGATGAAGTCTAGAGTTCCTGTCAACTACCTTTAATCAACACCATATATCAGCCTAGTGCACGTTACATCGGTTACTACTCAATGATCAGTCAGTTATAAAGAATGTTATGTACTTTCACTTATTTTCAATCGCAAACAGTGCAACAATAATTATAAAAATCAGAAACCTTGAAGAAATCTGAATGTCCGATTGATTGTTGCAAATATAAGCCGTACTTAAACCAAACAGAAACTACTTACAGGAGTTATAACGTTGTTTTCTTTCCACATTCGCAATTGATTTAATATCTCTATTTCATGATTTTCACCAGTTGTATGTACATCAGTTACTATTTGTCTCATTATTGTCACCGCAAAACCCCTTCTGATAAGTATGTTTAACAATTTCCTTTACAGTGTGCAAAAAAGCTGAACTTGGAACAGAATAAATCTATCAAGTTGGAAAGCAATGAGCTACATGGATATTTTATGCGTGTCACACTCAAGGTAAATCAGTGCATACATATGCGAAGTAGTGTTCGTGCAGTTCGCCTTCCGCCGCGCACACACATTTTCATATTGTTTTATTTCCTATGTGAATAGTTAGTTTTCAATTATCATGTCTAAATGTTTTGTACCGTTACTCCTCTCGCTTAAATTTAGACAATTGAATTTTATATCTCGAGACTAGTGCATAGATTTGTGGTTATTCATTGATTATATACAGTAAATTTTGTATACATTCTCCTATTTTTGATGGACTTTCGACAAGTGTTTAAATTCATTTCATTAAAATCGTTAAGCTTTTCGTTTAAATAAGTTTTTGTTTAATATTGAAAGTAAAATAAAATGATTTTATCCTTTTTGCCTAATGATGACTGCAACTCTTACTATGGCATAACACAGTTGAATTATGACAGTATTCATCAAATTGTTGAAATGCTTTGTCTTTCGATTTAATTTTCTCCATTATTGAAATGCCCTTATTTAAATAGTGAAATGAATTATAAGTGTAATCTGTCCTCTTCACCATCCTTAACTTATTTAAAATGCGTAAATACTGGTACAACTAGATACTGAAATACATATACACCACAAAAAAGGGAGGGAGAAGAGTGGGTAAATCAATTGTATGATAATGGATATTGGTCCTGCACTAATAAGGACTAGACAAGCATGACATCGATCACCACCCAGTGATCAATCAATTGTGATTACAGCTCAGTCCTACAGGAGGTCAGTCGCGGCTCGGGTAGCTCAGTGGTAACGTCTCTGACTGTGAAGCTGGTTGACACAAGATCGAATCCGCCAGGGAGCACCAGTCCCCGCAAGATTACAGGTACACCTTGCTGACGAGTGCCTAGTAGCACGAAACCCGGGTCCAGGGTTTCCTGTTGACTACCTCCAACCACCATCTAGATCTCAATACATAGTGCCCGCAGTGTCGAGTCACCTAGACTGGTGGCCACATTGCAACATGATCGATAGCATTCGATCTGCACTAATAAGGACCAGACAACATGACATTGATCACCACCCAGTGATTAATCAATTGTGAATGTAAAAAGATTACATCAGGATTGGTACAAATATGATGATCTTTTCTGAACCTTGTCTAATAACATTTGAAGCTACTGAGTTGTGTGCACTTTCCCTAGGATGTCAACCAGGAAGTGAGGATGGACCAATATTTGCCTGTCTTATACAGCTATATTTTATAGTAAAGCTTGTTAAAATCTGTCTTTTCTACCTTATTTTAGCGTCAGGAATTATTATATAATATGAAGGTGAAAAGGATGACACTCATAAGACATCTCAAGTCACCTCAACTGTGATCAATCTATGACAAACGGAAAAGGATCTTCACTAAATCTCTTCAGCTGAAAAACAGATTATTGTGTATTCTACATCTATGTGTCGTTTATTACATAAGATTCGTTTGTTGGTACTCTGATTTGAATAACTCATATATAATACATTTTATCATCCACTCAACTCCAATTCCCACAATCCATAAAGAAATATCCTGATATTTACCCTGAAAGAACTATGTGTTTTTTTAAGATTAAAGATTATGTATTGATTCGTGCAGAATGTCATGTCGCATTAATGTTTATCCATTTTCATTTTTGTTCACTCCTTTGTATTTTCTGTTTTCTTTTTCTTTCTTCAACTGTAACAACAAATAATCATGACAATAAAAGGATGAGAAATGTTTAAGAGGATTTGAAACATTTGAAATTTTGGACACACAAAAAGGTGGTGTACGTTTTCGTAATAACCAAATGACTTCATTAAATGAAACTTATGCTGAAGTGAAACAAGAATATAATGGATTACAAGAAGTGGTTGTACATCAGGTTGTTTGTGCCGCAGGTAACTACTTTTTTACGACTACTTGTCATGTGTCTTAAGACTTTCTTAAACTCCGAATATTTTTCTCTTTATCTAGTCCCTAATATTTCATATATACCTTAAATTCATAGAATTGAACAGTTACATTTTTGATCCGCACAGTTAGCCTTGAACCCATTTAAGGTAAACCCCTAATGGTTCGCTATCCGTAAGGTTGTCTCTATTTTTTGCCTTGAGTCCAAAACGAAGTCAAAAGTCAGCCTCTCTCACATTATATTTTAAGCACTCTTGAGTTTATTTACAAACATACCTGACCACATCACATCACCCAAAATGTCTGTGAGTAGGGAAAGCCGCACACGATTTATTGGGAATAACTGAAGGTTAATAATTAGTATGGTAATAGTTAACGGGTAAATAGGAGCTAAAGATAAACTCAGTATATGAATATAGTAATCCAGCTATTCGTTAATTATACAATAAGAATATTAGTAATAATTCAGAAATTAGTTCTGGAACTAAACATTTCTTCAATCTTTGTTCCAATACATCTCTATTAGTAAGATATATATATATATATTCGTTGATTTCAATATCACACCACTCCATTCTGCACTTAACATAATTACACACAGTATTATCATCACGGATTAAAACTTGTAGACTGGACAAAATTTTCGTTACCCTTCTAACTTTTCTACTTCTTTCCAGCATTACATCATTTTTTAGATTATTCTCATACCCAATGTTATCTCGAATAAATAAATCATTTGAGGCCGTTAACTCTGTCAATATATCAGTTTATAGTAATAATAAATATTATTTCCTACACTTTGATTCTACGTTAAGTCATAATAATTCATGAAGTAATTTATTGAATTATTTCTGTTGCTTCATAGCTATTCAGTTTGATTTTATTCTTTTGAAAGTTTTGTCACATATTGATTAAATAATAGTTTTTAGAGGTGTTTTGTTGTCCGAGCTGGTTGATCTAATCGGGAAGTTTTTTTTCTCTACACAATGTCATCGATACGTGCCGTAAAAACAAATAAGCTGTCCCGATTTAAAGCTACGAGTTCTGTCAGTCAGTCGAACTCAACGTAAAATGCGGCATATATTTACATCGATTCTACTTCCCACTCCTCACCAACAGAACGAAATGAAATTCTCAGGGTATTATATCACAGAGTAGCAGAAGTAGTAAAAGTATTAATGGTAATATCAAAGATTAAACACACAGTTACAATTTGAGAAAAAACTATTGAAATATATAAAGAGTGAATACGCTGCGCCATTGTGAACTATTTCTAGCTATGCCATTCAAAATCTGTAAACATTGGTTAGTATAATCAAGTGGATTCCAACCAGATAGTGTGTATGTGCCTGAATAGCTCAGTCGAGCAGTAAATGTCTTCACGGACTGACGTCACGTCTTGATTTGGCCATACCAGCTTTCTTCCAACCTACTTCTACACCAACCATTATCCGACGTCAAGGCAGTCAGTCAAGGGAAAAAATTAAATGAAACCTGTAAATAGAGATCACACAATAATGTGCAGCAACCAATTGAATTTCAGGCAAACAGATTAAGTTGTTTGTCAGTTGTTGAGAAATTCTAATATCTGACTTCTGAATTATGTTGTTCTCTAGAAAGATCATGAGAACTTTATCACTAAACCATCGAATTTTTAAAACAAAACCGTTTTAAAATGAGCACAACGGCATGAAAACAACAGTTGGTCGAGACAAACTATCAAAATGGATATTTCTATTGAAACATGTTTGTACAAAAAACACCGTCTTCTACTTTCGCCATTAAAATTCAACCAGGAAACCAAATAACTACGTTCACAACAGAAAACAAATAACTCTGGACTTGAATACTTGAGATTGTTAAGTTCTGAACCATTTCTTACTTTGAGAGTTTACAATTAAATAGTTCCTTTCTATTTACATAATGTGTATTGGGTTGAGCTGGGCTTTTTTAACCTAATAACTAATTATTATTGAGTTGTGTCATATTGAGCACATATTCTAAAGGTTTTATTCTTTTGCAAATTTGTGTTGATTACAATTTTGCCTGAAAAGACAATAAAAATACTATGATTAGATCATCCCTGTTCAGTGAACACTACATCTCCCAAATTACAGAAATTCTTTATCATTGTAATAATTTCATTATTATATTCAAATTATCAGCTTCGCCGTATATATTTCATCTAATGTATGTGTTATTTTCTTTTTTATTAAATGTATATAGCTACTTATTTAGAGCCTATTAATCAATTGAATGCAACCACTGCGTTCTTAGATGTTATTGTTAGCCTTTCTATCGCAGCTATCTCGTCTTCAGGCGTATCGTATATTCGTCCGAAAATTCTCTCTAAAGATAATGGTCATATTATTTTAAAAGGAGCACGTCATCCATGTTTGGAAATGCAAGATCGAGTCAGTGTTATTCCAAATGATGTACATCTTGAACGTGGTAAATTGCGTTTCGAATAAGTTTTTGTTTCTACATATTCTGAATTTTTTATTACAGATCAACCATTCTAATAATTAGCCGAACGTTCTTACATTTAAATTCTATTTTTCCCTTATATGTAGTATATGTACATGTATTGACCAAATGTGATTTGTTTTCGACCTTTCTTTCAATTCTAGCAAATACTTTCCACCTCATAACTCACACAATTGTTGTTTTCTCCAATTTATTGAAATTTTATAGGTAAACAAATATTCCTAATTATTACTGGTCCGAATATGGGTGGCAAGTCAACTTTTATACATAGTGTAAGTTATACAAAGAAAAGACCAAATAACAATTTCGTATTTTCCATTCTATGGTAGAATAAAGCTTGTGTGTATATGTGTCCACGAGAGAGAGACTGACGAGAACACATGACATGCTCATCATTATTGTTATCAAAACTTAGGGGAGCTCATAGTATATTTATATATATGTTTATTTGTAGATATCTTGATAGTCCATCTGGTACAGTGAAGATTGGACTCGTCATGTCATTTGATATTAACTTAATTTTTCTTGTTATGTTTACTTATGTCTGTTGGAGTGTATCATGTCATTTTGCTTTTTTAAACCCTACAGTATTTTTAACTGGGAGTTTAATGGTAATTATATTATGGTTCATTGTGTAAACTTCTCTCGAACACTAATCGTCACAGCTTATAAGAGAGGACAAAAGTCCTCTTATGACTGTCACAAAGGAATTATTTGACTAATATACCATCTAAAATATTAGCTCCATTAATAATCCGATTACTTACTAGGGCTCGTGAAAAGCACAACTCGACTGGTTTTAGACCTATTCGTTGTTGTATAAACAAAATATTTGCTCTTTGTCAGGTTCTAGATCATAGATATAACTACCGACGTCTGGCTATAGTTGTGTTCCTTGGCCGTAATGCAGCGTTACGCTCTGTTGGTTGGCAAGTCGGTTGATGAGGTAGTGAATCTTTATCGACTAAAGTGGTTATGACTTTCAATCTGTGAAATCATTGACAATTGGACAGCCATTTTAATAAGTGTAGACTGCCTATGTTATGGCCTGTGCGACCAATTGTTTGAGACTTTGGATGATATTGCTCAAAATCGATCGCAATGATATAGATGAATTCTCTCTTTGTCTTTCTTTAGAACCGGTGCTTTTGTTATAACTTGTGCCCTGTGTCCTATTAATGTATAATGTAATGATACCGCCAATGATTTATCGACCGGACCAATGAGGCATAAAACCCGTACGAGTATTCTAAAGTCCTTATTGGTCCTGCTTCCTGCCTAGCCCTGCCTGTTAAGTCCAGAACACCAATCTCAGCCTCCGCTATATGAATCGTGTATTTCAAACATACTCGGTTTATATACAAACGAGACAGACAATATCGTACCATAAAGTAGGAAACAACATTTGTACAAGATTTAGCTGTGAATGTGGAATAGACTGGGTATAACTCAAGAATAGTAAATCGTATAATAATAGTCTCATCATATATACACAACCGGAGTCCCGTACTAGTGTGAAACGGATATTCAGTGTCTTTTAGTTTTCAATGATTGTTTGACTGTGATCAATCTGCAATGTAAAGTAATACAAACAAAACAATAATAATGGTAATTCTCAAAAACCTACCTACTTGCCCCTCGCTGAATGTGAATTAATTTTCAGGTTGCCGTTATTGTTGCTATGGCCCAAATTGGCAGCTTTGTTCCGTGTTCATACGCAGAAATTATGCCAGTCGATGCTATTATGGCACGTGTTGGTGCGGCTGATTATCAATGTCGTGGTGTTTCTACATTTTTAGCAGAAATGCTTGAAACTTCAGCTGTTTTACGAGTTAGTATATTTATTTTTACATATACTATGTGTGCACATATCAACGCTTTAAAAATACAATTCATCGATATCCAACCTCTCAGTAGTTCAGTTCAATAATTATAGATGATAGAGAGATAATGTTCAAATCAGGTGGATCCTTCTAGTGTTGTCGAGTTCTTCAAACTAAATAATTTAATTGTGGATTTTCGATTATTTTCCTCGATAACATTATCAGTTGGTTGTTGCAAAAGCGTTAAATCAATTCGCTCTAGCGCCTTTGTTTTTGAGTGTTTATGTCCGCTAACTCTATTTGTTGTTATCTTCGATTTTTAACTGAAGGAATATATTATATCTTGAACACCTCTGACCAAAATCACGTGACAAATCACTATTCAGAATCCTGATTCTAATTTGGTCCGTTTTGCGTCAACTACTTACTCGATAACTTGTCTCTGGCTTGGTCAATTACACATCCGATCAACACTATTAACCTTGAGTCAATAGCTAAGTTCCTATTAGTTCACTATTCGCTAGCTCCTCTATATGTCGTGCCCTTCAGTTCAAGTCATCGACGAGCTTCCACCATATGTTTCGAACAGATGTAGATTATATATAGACATACCACGCTATAAAATGAAAAGTGACAATTATATACGAATAAGCCAATTGTAGCTATGATTAGGGAGACTATGAATAAAAGATAATAGAAATATTAACAATAAATCATGTGATAATATTCTATGGGTTAATCGGAATTTTATAATAAATGGAATATATAGACATAGTAACCTAGTTACGTAACACTTATGTAATAAGACTACATGTAGTAATAACAGTTTATAAATTTGTTCTATGAGTTACCATTCCTTCAATCCTGGTTCTGACATAACAGAATTATAAAAATAGCAGCCGTTGCGGACACCACTTCATCATCTCACATGTGTTTAATGTACTGTAATAATTCAGTTCTTGCAAATTTCGATTAATGTAAATAAACGACAATGACTTAGTTAATATATTTGTAATATTCCAGTGAGTAGAAAAATTAGATTTTGTGACTCAGTGTAAGCCACTTCTTCAGAGAATAAACAACCAAATCAAAATTAATCCATGTTTAAATAATACAAAGGAGCAACACAAGAATATCATGTGCGAGATCTTGACTCAAGCCAAAGAATATATTATTTACACAAAGAAACCACATAGTAATCCCGTCGAACTGGAAAAACTTCAAGTTACATCGTCAATAGCTGTTCACACCATTTTCAACAACAATCAAATCGATTTCAAAAACATCAAAATATTACAAAAAGGTTTTTCCAACTACAAAGAAAGGAGAAAGACCTCACTATACATCCGACTTGGACTATCTATTCTAGCTACCATGTCTGATATTACTCACATTTCACACTATTATCGTACATACAAACTAAGCTCCATCCTCTCACACCACAAAGGTCACAATTTTTCATCCCTGACCTTGCATACGTACACACACGCACAAATTTACATAAATGTCGCTTGACTGAAATGACATGACATTGACTTGTTCAGACCTGTTTTTTGATTGGTCGCGTATAATATTCTTGCGTTGTTCCTTTGTATTATTCAAACATGGATTAAATTGGATTTGGTTATTTATTCCCTGAAGAAGTGGCTTACACTGAGTCACGAAACGTCGGAAAATCTAATTTTTCTATTCTTTAGGATATTGCACATATATTAATTTTTCATGACAATCTACCCAATGCTCAATTTTTTCGAAATCATCAAGTCAAACCTTGGTGATGATGGTAGATTTCGTTTTTCACTAAACTTACATTTTTTTATTGTCTATACATCAATTAATTAATTAGTTGGATTGTCATCGTATTTTTCAATGAGAAGGGATGTTAATCGGACGGAGGAATTTTAATGTTTTCTGTGTAATTGTCGAATCACAACGAATAAAAATAGCGTATTATTATTATTATTATTATTATTATTATTATTATTATTATTATTATTATTATTATTATTATTATTATTATTATTATTATTAAAAGCTTACTGCCGACTACGTGCAAACACAACAACAAAGTAAAATTATTTAATATACGATAAGTCATTTTATCACCAACTACCCTATCACATTCAATTCTTGTCTGTAACTAACAACCTACACTGAATGTAATTTTTCCTAACTAACACTTATTACTAACATTTTTAATGAAAACTGACATTTAAGACAAAAGAAAGACACTTGTTGAATTAGCTAGCAATGTCAATATATTTTCCAAGTTATAATAAATAATTCATAGATAAATTAGTAAATGAAATGAGTAGCACGTGGTATACACATGTAATAGCTGACTGAACTGTTTTCATGGACAAATGAGCTGCTTTTCACTGGCTACATACTACATATTATCATTAGCAGGAGAATAATTTGACACAATTCATTTCTTACAAACACTATGGAAAGAAAATAGGGAGATTGCAGAATTTTCATAGATCTACATCACAAACTTACCTTAGCTAGACGGACCTGTAAACACCTTCGGTCTCGTGCAGAAACGCCTAACTCCCTAGACCACTGGGTCGGCATCCAATAGTGTTAATAGCTAACTCCAGTCAATTGGAGATATTGAACAGCCCTCCCGTCGACAACTGTCTTGCACCCGACATGGTAAGTTGGAGATCCTGGGTTCGACTCCTCGAAGCGGGACCGTGAATTCGCACTACTGAGGAGTCTCATACCAGGTCCAAATGTCATTTCTCTGCCGTGGTGGTATAATTGAAATCAGTTCGTGATATAAAACTGAAGATAGTTGTGAGATTTGTTAGAAATTCTTTCATTTGATAAGTTTTATGAAAAATACTATGTTCCGTTTCTTTGGATAAAGTTGTTTCTTTCTTCTCGAACTGTGTATTTGTGTCACGTGAGGCTGTTACATGGTACTGTGATTTGAGTGTTAGTCCTTAACAAACAGTAAGAAATACTTATATTTGCTGTTGAATTGTTATTTTTTTACAATGTTGTACATGTATAAACGTCACGTTTTGCGGTTTTGTGGTAATATGATATAGTAATGTATCTTTGCGCCAGTCTCTACGTTTATAATGACTAACTGACTGAGTTGTGAATTATTCACTTTTTTCCATTCTATACATATTCATACAATTGGAATATATTCAATAATATTAATGTTTATATTATTTTCTGGTGTCATAAAATAATTTTTTATTGCATTTTTTAAAAAACTCATAACATTAGTCGGTCACGCCAAATTCACTTGTCATTATTGATGAATTAGGACGTGGCACATCAACGTATGATGGATTTGGACTAGCATGGGCAGTCGCTTCATTTTTAGCTAGTCCTGAAGTTGGTTGTTTCGGTTTATTTGCCACACATTTTCATGAATTAACCAGTTTAGCAAATTATATGCCCAAGCGTGTAGCTAATCTACGAGTTTTATGCAATGTATCAAACACTAAGGGAATCGTTGAAGATGAAGAGTCTGAGACAAAAGTTACCATGTTGTATAAAGTTGAGCCAGGTATGTAATCGTAAAATTGATTGAGTAATTGGATAATAATTTCAGATTAATAACTTAAAATGTTTTAGTGTATTTTCCTATCGTTTGGTTTGACTGCAAAAGAATCTGTGAATGGTTAAAATAATTCCTTTCTAGATTATCTATTTCCATTGTCTTGTTTGTTCATCGGGTTTTTTCATCATGGAAACATGATCATATATTTGTGACATATAAATGTCCATTTTTTTTACATAAACCTTAAATGTCAATTGGTCAGTTTACGGTACATTTTGTTATGTCACTGTAAGTTCTTCGATAATGGTTGTTGTTAACTAACTCGATTTTCGATCATTCAATTACTTTAATTAGATTAGTGCTATGGTTTGAAAAATATTTGATTTTAACACTGACTTATACTTTTAACGGTTTCGTTTTCTAAATTTTGGAAGTATGTTGTTTCGATAAAATTCATATTTTTGCTTTATTACAAATATGTATGATGGTTTGCTGATTTTCTGTGGATATTAATGTGCAAAATGTTATGCACCATAGCACAAACGTTTAGAGGGGAAAGTTTTCTCTCACTGCAAACATTGTAATGTGATGAGTGCTAAAAATTAAGAAACAGGATTGAATGACGACACCACACCATCCTTCATACTGAATTAAAGTAAACTCACGATTAATATTCCTTGACCGTTGGTACTTGTCAGCAATGTCACTTGGGATTTACGTGAAGTCTTGGCCAACACGATGGAGAAACCCGAAGCTAATGGTTAAATGATGGACTGGCAGCAACTAGGGTACTAGAAAGAGTTCCAATCATTTTAAATTGTCAATCTAGTAATTATCTGTCTCTCAAGTGTAGATTTTGTACTTACATTATCGCTAATCCACCATACTTCGTGTTATTAATTTAGGCGTATGCAGTCGTAGTTATGGTCTAGACGTTGCTCGTCTTGCAGGCCTACCTATGGAAGTAATTAAACAAGCTGAACATCAAGCATCTAAAGATGAAGAGCTTGAATCAATTTGGTTGAAATTAGATAAAAAATGCTCTACCATATATGAAGATGAACTAGACTTTGTTCATGTAAGCAGTTGATTTTCTTTTTTCTTTCTAAAAAGTTTTGTAAAATGTTAGTACTAAATGAAGATTTTAGTCTGTTCATTTCTTTTTCATACTTTAGAAAACTTTTTAAACAGCTACCATGAAAATTTTAAATGTGATGTGTCTATATTAACAAGTAGTTTCGTCCTTTCATTATCTCAGTTGCACTGATGAATAAAAACAATTATCACCTAGTAAACGTTTTTCAATACTTTCCATGCGATTCACTCGCTGAATTGAATATAGTCACCCTAAATGTCGTTTTACTGGGTTTTTTTTATACTTTAAACCTAATCATCCAAGTACCTAGATCAGTTATATGCTTTGATCAACCGTGTTTTTTTTAACCCAGCATACTGATATTGTGTGATTATCTAGCTGTGTTTTAACATTCTTCAACTCTATTGTTTCAGATGATGCGGGATACCTGATCAAATTTAGTAATCCATCCATATTACATGCATGAATCTATGGTTTTTTATTTCACAATTAAAATTATGTTATTATGCAAATATTCAGTGTTCACCTGTATGTGACAAATCCTGTCAGAAAATATCGTCATTATTTCTCATGACTTTTCAGCTGCATAGTATATCCAAGCTTGCCAAGTGATTAGAGAGACGATTGGTGAGGACATCTAGACCTTGATTTTGTTCTTATTGATACTTGTCAAGAAATTATGCTTGCAATCTTAAGGGGATTGTTGCTGTTTTTTGAGTCCAAACTTGTGCTACTCATTTGCGTAGTCAACATCTTATTTAGCACAAAACTTGGACTCAAGACTTCCTACTAATTGCTTCAAACTCCCTAGCGGCCAATAACACTACATAGTGTACGTAATATTAACAACCTTAGGCTGGTGTCCACGTACTTTTGGAATGATTAATACTGTGTACTAGACAGGAGCGAAATCAGTTAATACTTAGCGATCAACCAGCGTAAATTAAAGCTTATATGCTTATCCATTCAATAAAATGTTACGCATAGTTAACTCAATTAATGATAAAAAGTATTTTAGTTATGTAAACATAAAAATTCTGCAGTCGAATGTTTAAGCTGTAAAGAATTACTGTCTTTAAAACGATTTTTTCTAACGTATGTATCAAACAGAATTAAACATGTGTTTATCATTACGTAGTTTACACCATGAAATTACCTTGGTTAGATGATCATTGAAAATCAGGAAGCAGAATCGGACAGATGTTTCGTCTTACCATAGAAATTCTCATCAGTACTCATTCACAATCCCACTATGGATCGCAGGCATGACTTTTATATCTCGTGGCGAACGCTTAGCTTTTAGACTTAGAAGGTTACGGATGTGCACCCATGAGGAATCTCAGACGATTGAAACATTTGTCCAATACCGTCTGGTTTTCAATAGTTGTCTAGATGAAGTTAGTCTGTGATGTGAATTACAAAATTTATCTGTCTCTTCACACTCCCTTACACAAATAATGTATCATTATCAAACGATTAAGATGAAACCATAAATTTATGTCAAATGTTTTTTTTATTTGCTTCGTCTTAATTGTTTTCTCTCATCATCTCTCATTTTTTCTACACGTTCATGCGTATGTGAATGTGTGTATACAGGACTCTCCAGCTGTATCAATCGCCAATGAATTATGTCCACGTCTTATCTCAATGCTGGATCACGTCATAAAAGAAGCTGAACTAGAAAAGAATTTATCAATTAATATGATTAGTTCGACAGTTGCTCATTTGACGCGTGAACTTTTACTAGAGAAACCAAATAATTTACCAAGTGATTACTTATTAAATTTGGTCAAAAATAAACTAGAAAACAATAAGAAAATATAGATAGGTTTTTTACGATTGAACAATTATTTTATTGGTATAATCATGACTACAGTACTTTGTCAAAGTTTTCCTTGAAAAAAATTTCTCCACATTTCTTTTTATATCAGTTTTAAATTAATAAGATCTGCTCACATATTCCTTTCAAAATTTTCTGTGTATCTTGAATATTGATACAGTAAATGTATATTAAGCCTTAAAATCAGAAATAACATAGTGAATCGAGTGGATTTAAAACCTAAACAAGTCGATGCCAACTCAATAGTCTTAAGCTTCAGCTCTCCCTTTGACACTTGAAGTCCCTGGTTTCAATACCTGCTAAGGCTGTGAATCTACATGACTAAGTATTCCAGTACTTCGACGAAATAGTTGTCTAGATCTTCTTGGTTTATATAGGTTGTCTAGCTTCAAATAGTTCGCGATTCGGCAACAAAATTATCCTTAAAGTTTTGATAGGGAATCATGACTTGTTGTGTCGAATGAACAGTTGCGTAATGATTGCAGTAGTTTCAAGAAAGTAGCATAAAT